CGATGTCGGGGGCCTTCCAGAATGACAAAAAATCAGGCTATCAGGGTTTAGGGGGTTTAGGGGTTTAGGGTTTAGGTCAGCCATTGACTGTGTGGTGGAGTTTTGGGGTTTAGGGGTTTTAGGTTCTTTTTTGGGACTGGGCTTCGATTTTTTTTGGGGGGCTTCAAGGGGTTCAAACCACCCAATCAGCGGCCAAGGAGCTTTTCGGGAAGACCCGATGAATCTGCAACACCTCCTCGGGACCTCGGTTCAAGATTGCAGTCTCTTCTGCTGTCAAAAAGCCCGAAACCCGGAATTTCAGAGTTCCCCAAAGCGCCAAACCTCTCGACCTTCAAACCATCCCATAACCCCCCCAACCCCCCACAAACTGAGGCTATCAAGACTAGACCCTAGACATAGACCCTGGACCCTAAACCCCGAACCCCTTCCCAGGCTTCGCTCCAATCGCCTGGGACTGCTAAGCCGCGCTCTGGAGGACTTCTTGGCATCCCGAACTCCTCCCTCCTCTGAGTTTCCACCTGCTTGCCCCCTAAACCCGCAACCCTAAACCCTAGAAAAGTACGGCTCCAGGATGTTCGGTGCAATGGGACCAATGATCTCGGGGTTCTGCAGCACTTGCCGTCTGGCTTCCTTGGATTCAGGGGGCTTTCAGAAGGATGGAGCTTGTAGTGGCCAGGGTTTGGGGCTTATGGGGCTAGGTTTGGGTGTGTGCGGGCTCACTAAAGGTTGGCTACTTGGAGCTTCATGGTTGTTCGGAAATGGATTGAGGTCTCTCACAATAGGTATCCTATACACCCGATGTATCCCCTTAAGGATTCCAACCTTTCTTCCAGCAGCTTGATCCGAAGGAGCTGAATCGCGTCCGCACGGAGGCTTGCCATCATGGGTGTTCTTTGCACGGCTTTGGGGCTCGAGGTTTAGGGTTTAGGGGGCTTTTTGAAAGTCCCTTCAAAGAGCTGACGTTGCCAGGTCTAGGGTGTATACATATATGTTTATGTACATGTATACATATATATATATACACATATATAGAGCGTTTGGGTGTATATATATATACAGGATGCAGGGTTTGGGTGATTTCCTACTAAAGGGGCAACACCATGCCAACAGCGAAAGGTCGCCCAAACAGGTCATTAACATGGCCCTTATATGAATTTTGAAAAAGGGTCCCCAAACCCAAGGGTAGCACCTTATAGGGGCCCAAGGCAACGTCCCTTAGCCGACAGGTTCGTCTGCTGGAGTCGGGCACACCCTTGGCGTCCAGAAAGCTCTTGCTTGCCCAGGCCCGCTCTCCAAAGACCAACTGTGACTAAGTCAGTGTTGTTTAGGGTTTAGGAGTGGTTTGGGGTTTTTGGGTTTTAGAGAGGTCCTGTAAGGTTAGGGAACAACACAGGTACTTGCCGGGGATGATTATAGGCAAGGGGCGAGGGGTCCAGTCAATCTCCGTCCTCTTCTCCCCTCCAAGGCATCTTAAGTCTCAAGCATCAGCACAAAGCTAGATCCCCCTTGGGAATTATTTTTTTGTTTAGTTAAAACCCAAGAGGATATGAACAAGATTGTTTTTATTAAGGTTCTAAGGGGAGTATAGAAAGACCCTCCTGAGCCTTTTCTGCGTTCTTGGGTGCAAGGCTTAGAACCCTCTCGGAAGAATCGCCATGATCTCGCGCGTTCTCGAGGGCGCGGGGGTGGCTTCCGAGCCCTTTAGGGTTTAGGGTTTAGGGTTTAGGGTTTAGGGTGCTGACTCAGAGCTCTTTTTGACAGCTGGAGGCTCCTAGACCTCGAGTCTAGAATTCGGAGCCGGATTGAAGGCGTTGTGTAGAGTGTGCTCGGTATAGGCCTCTTCGACGCTCTCCAGCACGCTGTCCGCCGCCCCAGTGGGTTTTCATACAGGGGACGCACTGTCGGCCTAGTCAGGGGGGCATCTGCAGGGATTGCACACATGAGCCTTTCCATGAATCCAAACCCTCGTAGTTCCTGCATCCTTAGAGTTTATGGGTTTAGGGTGCTTCACCTACGTCCTAAGCCCGCGCAGACGAAGTCAAGCCAGACACGATCTGGGCTACGAGCTCTCCAGGAGCATCCATGAACCTTCCAGAAACACTCTCACAACCGATTCGAAGAGCTGCGTTCTGAATTCACCAACCAACAAACTTAGCAACATGTAGCCCTCCAGACATGGTAAAGCCAGAATACCTTATATATTATGCCCCTCCAAACATGATAAAACTCTCAGCCACTTTGCACCCAGGCGTTCACGGCGCGCTTATGCCCCAAGCGAGATGCAGGGCGACTACGACCCGCGATTCCTTGCGCCGCCTGGGTGCGGTTATGACGTTTAGGGGTGAGGGTTGAGGGTTCAGGGTGTAGGGTTCAGGGTGCCATTCCAAGCCACCTTTCCCCCGGTCACGTTCCGTCTCACCACCCTTTTCTTACTGCGCGTCGGTTCCTGGGCTGCGTAGCTCGACGCAGCGGCGCCCTGAGTCGGGTGCCTGGCGGGCTCCTTTTCCGCCCTGGCCTTGCCAGCACTTCGCTGCCACATGTCCTGTCTTTCCGCCAGTGTAGCGCGGTATTTTAGGGCTTGGGGGTTTAGGGTTTAGGGTGTAGGGTTCAGGGTTCAGGGTTCAGGGTTCAGGGTTTAGGGTTTAGTGCCAAACATTCTCCGCTGCGGTCTCCAGCTTTGCGGCGTCTGCTCCCGCTTTTGCAGGTGTTTGCCGTTGCCCTTTAGTCCCTCCCCCCTAATATTCTTATAGCCCCCCTACCCCCTAATATGAAATACTCCCAAATTTGTAGTTACATTATAGCAAATTGTGTCTTTTTTTTTTAATATTAGGGGGTGAGGGGGGGGTATGACATCAGGGGGAGGTTACAATATCGTATATTGGTGTTTTTTAAGATTAGGGGGTAGGGGGGGGGGGGGGATAATAGTAGGGGGAGGTTACAATGACCTCTGCCTCTTCCTAAACCCTAAACCCTAAACCCCAAACCCCAAACCCCAAATCCCCTATATGTGATTTTCCGAAGCCAGGGCCTTGAACCCTCTGTGGCTTGTCTCCCTTTCTTTTCGCCACAGGCTCGTCCTTGACCGGTCAAGCCTCTGCCTCGACCGCCACTCCACCCTCCGCCGCTTTACAGGTCCGTTCTAGGTTTAGGGTTTAGGGTTTAGGATTTAGGGTTTAGGGTTTAGGGAATTCCTGCTTTGCCTTTTTGCTTTGGACTTCTTCCTGGCCACCAGACTCTGTCCACATTCATTGGGGTTGGACCATTTGAGTCTTCGTACTTTGTGTGTGTGTGTGTTTGCTCTCAATCTTCCATAAGATCTCTAAGTTGAGATCGGATAGAGATGCGAGGTGAAATACTTGCACCTTGGTGTCAAAAACCGTGTGGACGGCAAAGCGACAGGAATCACGGAGGGCCCGTGAAATACAGAATGAATAAGCGAACTGTGGACGAAGGCAGCGACCGAAGGAAACTTGCTGCCTGGTTTGGTTAGGGTGTAGGGTCGAGGATTTAGGGCTCCTAAAACCTAAAACCTAAACCCTAGCCCATGGTGCCATGGTGGGTCTAGGGTTTAGGGCTTTTGTTCCTTGTCTCTTTGTTCCCTTCACCCCCAGCCATGGCCCGCACACGCCTTTTTGCCTCCGGAAGCGAAAAGGAGGGAAGGCCAGACCAAGACCCAGGTGATGGGATGAGGATATGTTTCCAAAATCCGGGGTTTCCCTCCGACATATATACCTCAGAAGGCCGAACATCCTTGTTACAGGAACCACTATGAGGAAGAGTTGGGTGTTACGATTGAAAGATGAACCGCGCGAACTCGTGACGTGAGATGTGGTTGGGGGGTTTTTGGGCTTGGGATGCTCAGGTTCGAGTTCACACGCAATATGCTTCTCCGGGACAATCAGGCGCATCCTCTGCAGCAGAACAGTGCTTATCCCACCATGATGCCATAGTTTCCCCGGGTACCTTTCTAAGGGCCAAGGGCCCATACTAAGGGACCTCGTATCTCCCCCTGTGATTACTTGGGCTACAGGGTCATGAGTCGTAGGAACTTCAAGCAAACCAGAGGATGGTTGCGTTGCTTCGCGATGCTGAGGTTTGTACTAAACCTTGAAACCCTAAACTCTGGAACATAAACTGTGAACCCTAAACCCCAATGCGTAGCGGCGTGAGACCGGGATCGGGTTTCTATTTTCATACAAGGGCTCATTGAACAGGATGTTGATAAGTGCTTGGAGTTTAGGGTTTAGTTCAGGGTGCAGTGCTCTGTGTGTGTGTTTTTTACCATCATGTAGTAGATTTAGGATTTCGGGCTCTATACCTGTGACTCTTTACCTACGGTTTTATGGGTTATACCCACTCGTTTAAGGGTAGCTACTACTTAAACTGTAGGGTAAATAGAGCCCCAGGTAGAGAATATGAAGTTTGGGGTTCCTAAACCCCATACACCCTAAACCCTAAACCCGAAAACCCTAAACCCTAAACCCTAAGCCAGGATTTCCAGCTTAGTGGCTTAGATTTAGAGATCTCTTTTGGGCAGGTTGACCTGGTCAAGGACTTCGTGTCCAGTCTGGACAGCGCAAAGCAGGCCTGGTTTAGGGTTTAGGGTTTGGGGTTTGGGGTTTGGGGTTTAGGGTTTGGGGTTTAGGGTTTGGGGTCTGGGGTTGAGGGTTGAACCGCTTACGGAAGATAAAGGCAACCATTGGGTTTGCCTTGCTGGAGCCCTTCACACCGCGGCTGAAATCAGCACTTAAGTCTTGAGATGCCCCTGGCCACAGCACAGCAATGGTCCCTGCCATAGATGTGCGCATGTTTTCATCGAAGCATCAGAGTCGTTTGCTAAAGAGCGGCTCTCTTTTGACTCTTTTGTGTATTTATGTTCAACCTGTATCAGTTTCATATGAGCATTCAGCATATCCTCGTTGGTTTGTAAAGCCTCGGAAAACCTCATTGACCTCCGGACTCCGGCACGCTGCTTTCAGGATGCCGGCGGGTGCAGCGCCATGGTTAAGCAGATGATCATGGGCCAGGCTTGGCCCTCGGAACGCTAACCTCAACCCTAAACCCTGAAACCCTATAAACCCTATAAACCCTATAAACCCTATAAACCCTATAAACCCTATAAACCCTATAAACCCTATAAACCCTATAAACCCTATAAACCCTATAAACCCTATAAACCCTATAAACCCTATAAACCCTATAAACCCTATAAGCCCTATAAACCCTATAAACCCTATAAACCCTAAACCCTAACTCGTGGCTCAGATGAGGGTTGCTCTGGGGTCCCCTTATGACTCTCTTGGGCCGAGTCCGGAACCGCGCATCTTGGTTCTTGGGTTCCCCATGAATCCTCTACAAACCTTAGTTTCCTTAAAAAAACCCAAAGGGTTTAGGGTTTAGGGTTTAGGGTTTAGGGTTTAGGGTTTAGGAAACCCATGGAATACAAGAGGCCACATGACTTAGCGCGTCAACATCACCTGAGATACATCAAGGTCAACCCCAGCATCTTGTTTTCAAGCCGATCCCGCAGCGTCCGCTCCTAGCAACGCCAGGGCAAGACCACCGTGGTTCGGGCCCAAGCTTCTTGGGTGTTAGGGTTTAGGGTTTGGGGTTTGGGGTTTAGGGTTTAGGGTTTAGGGTTTGTTATGAGACCATGTGAACACAACGCAGAAACCATGCCCTGCATGTTTCTCGGATGACTTCGGGAATGTACTACAGTAAACAGCTCAGACCTGTGCGGAGATGCTCTGAGGTGTGTCCTCTGCTGGTACTCATGCTGGCCGATGGCAAGCAGCTGGTGGTCTTGGTTGTTCCGGGGGCCTTGCATGGAGCCCCAGCAGGTCATCTGCGAGAGCAGAAGCAGAGTACTTGGAAACCCCTGTGAAGGTAGCAAGTAGGGTTAGTACGGTGGGGGCTCTGGAGATTCTCGTAGGGGTTATGGGGGGTACTACCATAGGCTTACTAAGTCAAACGAGCTTCCAAGCATTGTTGTGCCGGCCTTTGCGCATCACGTTCGGTGGGACTGGGGGGCGAGCAGGGCTTCCGAAAAATTGAGGGTTTAGGGTTTAGGGTTTAGGCGGCTTCCTACAATAAGAAATATATGAAATAGGTGGTATGTTGGGGGTATAGTAGGGAGACTCCCGTTGTGGGAAATGCCCAGAAAGGGTAGTGATCAGAATGCCCGTTCCCAAAAATACCTATAATTCCCTGACGAACACAGAGGAAACCCCCAAAATGGGATGTCCGAAAATAGGGGTCTCCCGAAGTATACCCCAAAAATACTCGAACCCTTTGAAAGGAGCCCCAAAAAGGTACCCCACCCCCCTTCTTTTCGGAAGCCCCCAAATATGTTCCGAGAAAAGGGCCGGGTGCCATCAACCGCCCACCTCGAGGCTGGACATGTCTCGTCGCGTCTTGCGGGCCACCTTCGCCTCGGTTCTCACGAAGAAGGTTTGGCCCCTGAAGGGTTTAGGGTTTAGGGTTTAGGGTTTAGGGTTTAGGGTTTAGGGTTTAGGGTTTAGGGTTTAGGGTTTAGGTGCATTGCACATCCTACCAGAGTTGAAAGGTTGACCTTTGATTTGGGATCAGGGTACTCAGCCGCTAGCATTGAAGAACTGCGTTTTCATGTGAGCCATCCGGTTTACCCCAGCGGCCGGATGGTGGCCGAAGGTTTGCCCAGATGAATCACATGATTCCTGGTACGTCTGCCAGGATCTTCGGCTACTTTTCTTGCTTTTAAGGCGTCACTTTGTTGTATTGTATTGTATTGTATGGTATGGTATTGTATTGTATTGTATGATGTTTTATGTATGTATGTGTGTATATATGTATGGTGCAGAACAAAGGCCTTGCTACATCTACATTACTTCCCAGACCCTGGGAGGATCCAACACGTAGATCCCTTTTAAGGGTTCCTAAGAATGACCCTAGAGCAGTATAGGGCACTCTTTTGGGGGGTCTTTTTGGGATCCTCCCAGGGGTCTGGGTTGGAAACCTATTGAAACCAAAGCCTGAATTGAATGCCCGAGCAGGGAATTCTGACCCAACAACCTTTCTCGTCCAACCCCCAAAAGCCTGAACCTTTTCTTCACCTTGACCTAACCCCTAAACCCCAAAGACCACAGGCGTGAATCTGCAAGCACTAAACCCTAGACCCCCCCCCAACAAAAAGAAATAAATAAATAATAAAAAGATAAAAATAAGAATACTTGAAAACAGAAACAAAAAAGTGCCTCTGCGTCGTCAAAAGACCTACGCCCGCGCAGAGAGGTGGGCACCTTTGAGTGCGAGAGATCCTCGGCCTTCGATCCGCACCTCTTGCGGAAGCTGGAGAAGGCCCCCTAAACCCTAAACCCTGAACCCTAAACCCTAAACCCTGAACCCTAAACCCTAAACCCTAAACCCTAAGCCCAATACCCAATGAGGAAGTGGCCGACTTTAGGGATTTGAGCGGCTTCGGGGGCTTTGAGAGTTTTGGCGGCTCGAAGTTTTCATCTGTCGGGTGTCTTAGGGGTTTTGGGATTGAGGGATTGAGGGGTTGAGGGGTTGAGGAATTGAGGGATTGAGGGATTGAGGGGGGCTTTGGGGGATTCGGGATTTGGGGCTTGCAGGGTTTGGGCGGCCTGGGAGCTAACTCCATTGAACCTCGCAAACCCTCAATCCTCATGCGTCCCTAAACCCTAAACCCTAAAAAAGGCACCTAGACTTAAAACTTGGATGTTCCCCCTTGTACTAACACTCATTCATAGGGATTGTACATTATATAGTCCCTCTTAAGGACGGTTAGTATACAAGGGGAACATCCCAACCCTAAACCCCGAATAGACTGAAGAAAATGCATAGAAAGCAAAAAGCCGAAGTCGAGGTCTCACTTGGTTTGTAAGCGCTTTTCTAGGTTTAGGGGGACTTCACGTCCGAAGACCCCACATCAACGTAAGGAACCAGCCCAAAGTCACTTTTTATCTCATGAGGGCAGCATGGGGTTATTATTCTTCATATACATAATACATATATACGTTTGTTTATGTATCTTCATTTATGTTTTTGCAAGGTTTCAGTTTTTTATTTGATTTTTCGTTTTTGATTTTTAGATGTTTTTGCTTATGGGGGGGGCGGGGTGCTCTTAAGCAAATAACAGACATCCACATGCGAGGCCAAGACGTCGGGCGCTGCCGTGGTGACAGTGCCGACATCTGTGAAGTCGCTGATGTTGCGAATGGTTGTGCCTTGGTCCCCACGAGGGGGGGGGGGGGGGGGGGTTGCGCTCATAATAAGCTCTATCTCTGTAGCTATTGCAGCTCTACGACGACTTTTTCTCAGTCGTAGTGATGTTAGTAGCATTTACTGCTTTTTGTCCATCCTTATAGTACAGACTACATTTGGGGGGCTTACTTGGAAGCTCTTTTGAGTTGGTAAGTCTACCTGGTATCGCCTGAAAACTTGCAATCCCCATAGCTCCCCCTTACGAACCCTAAACCCTAACCCTAAACCCTAAACCCTAAACCCTAAACCCTAAACCCTAAACCCTAAACCCTAAACCCTAAACCCTAAACCCTAAACCCTAAACCCTAAACCCTAAACCCAAACCCTAAACCCTACTTACTAAGTCAAACGAGCTTCCAAGTAGAGGACAAACGATGATGAAGCCCCATAATGCCCATGTTGGAAGGTATGCAAGGTATCAGAAAAGGGTACTTTAGGGTTTGGTGTTTAGGGTTTAGGGTTTAGGGTTTAGGGGTCCAGGAACATAGCTTCTGCAAGCCAAGGAGCTCATGATGAAGCTCCAGGCGAAGGGCAAGGACGAAACGCAATGTCCCCAAAGTATAACCCTAAACCCTAAACCCTAAACCCTAAACCCTAAACCCCTAGGTCACTTCCTGGCTCATGAATCTACGGGCGGCTATATGGGCCCTTGTATACAAGGGGAATATAAGGGGTCGTCTGGACCATGTAACTACCCTAAGAAATATGAAGCTCTTCGCAGTTCATTGCGTGCTGCAACAGCCGCGAGAATGGCAACAGCATAGCAACTCCAGCTCCCAGGCCCTAAAGCTACTACTACGTGGGAAGCCCTTTAAGGCCCAAGTATAACCCTAAAGCCCCAAGGGACCAGAAAGTCCAGTTCGCCACGCGAAGGAGGCCGACACTGCCGTGACAGAAACGCGATCTCAGGTGCGGCAGCTCTCTCAGGTGGGCATGGGTGACGTGTACACTCCTTAAACCCTAAACCCTAAACCCTAAACCCTAAACCCTAAACCCTAAACCCTAAACCCTAAACCCTAACTATCACAATTAACCATTAACCCGCGAAAAGTGCTCTTTTGTAGTGTACCAAGCTACGGCCAGGCCCTGGCGCTCTTCCGACAAGGGGCCGTGCTGATGGACGAGGCCTCCGCTTGGTTGTTGAACTGCCGAACTTCCTTCCAAACCAACTTTCCGGCGTTCTATAGGGGCCTTAATGATTCTAATTTGTCATTTTTTTGTTGGGGGGGGGGGGGGGGGGTTATTGTAAAAAAAATAATATAGGGGCCATAAGGGAATAGTATTCGTAATTCTTCCGACCCCTATGTTTGATGATTCGACGTGCCCTCCAGACAGTGCAGTCTTAGACGTTCGAAAGAGCAAGGGTTGCATCTGGAGCATATCTCCCCGAAGCAACTACTGCATCATGTCGCCGAAGTTCACGTGAACTCAAACAGTAGTTCTTGCTTCAAGGGTTACTGCGTGGACGCATGTTGCTCATAGCATGGTGTGATGTGCTGTGCAGACAAGCATCATCTCGCATTATCGGTTGGGTACTAGATTGTGGAGGGCTGGACCGCCAGAACTTTGCGTAGAGCAATGCCTAAAGACCTGCGACGTCGTAGCTGACGCAGCACATCTACGACATCCCACGCGAACGACGCCATTGTCAACCAGAGAACAGCTATTTGACCAAGCACAGGAGCTTCTGGCACTCGCAGCCACATGACAAATGTCGTTAGTTGTGATGTCGTTGACAAGATCGGTGCAGCAGGTATTCTTTACAGACTTTAGACCCCAGTGCAGGGATTATGTATATAATTGGAGCCCCAGGGGAAGTGTAGGAGCAGCAAGTCAGCTGGCGACTTTCTTGGAGCGCGGAATGCGGACAGGTGGATGTGGTGCTCCACCCGCTGAAGTCGGAGTTGAACTTCCCTTACGGCCCAAAGGACGAGAGAGAGAGAGAGAGAGAGAGAGAGAGAGAAAGAAGGAGAGAGAGAGAGAGAGAGCGACAGCGATGGATAGATATATCTATATACATATATACACATATACATACACATATACGTATGCATATACACATGCATATAGGTTTGCATATACATATACATATACATATACACATACATATACATATGCAGATATATGTATATATAAATATATACACATAAATCCAAGGGTTTCGGGTTTCTATTTCGCATATTCGGGTTGAGGAGGCCTGCCTGAGATTCGGGGAGGGTATATATAGTTGTAGCGCTGTATTCAGTTCAGGGTTGGCCTGGGGTCTCTGTGAGCGAAACCCTCACCCCTAAACCCTGAACCTGAAAACACTCCTGGACAGGAGCCGCTGGACGGATCTTCCCCGCGAGCCTTCCGATGGGTCGGGGCCTAAGCTGAGGAGGGCCCCCAAACCCCAAACCCCATCATTGATCGAACGACACAAGTCCGACCGAACCCCAAACCCAAACCCAAACCCCACACCCCAAACCTCCACACCCCCACACCCCAAACCCCAAACCGCAAGCCCCAAGCCCCAAGCCCCAAACCCCAAACCCCAAACCCCAAACCCCAAACCCCAAACCCCAAACCCATTCCCGACTAAGAGCCAGTAAGAGGCAGTAAGTAATGACTACATTTAAAGGGTCCATAACAGCCGTCAGAAGGACCACTCGCCCCACTGCCCTAGAAGTTCAGGCTGAGTAACCCATACGGTTAGGGTTTAGGGTTTAGAGTTTGGAGTTTCGAGATATAATCCCAATTCTCCATGGAAAAGCCTTCAAAGCTGACAAGCGCACTACAGCAAGAACCGACAAACACCTCCGACGCTCATGGCCCGAGGTGACATTCCGAATTGCGAGTTTCTTTCACGACTTACCAAGTTAGAAATACCACCCTAAACCCTAAACCCTAAACCCTAAACCCCCCTACTGACTATGACTTCTGACTCCATCCTTATGCCTTGCTACCTGCGGCTCCATACTTCCTACATATTGCTTGCTGCTTCTTGCTTCTGCCATCTTGCTTCTTACTTGCTACTTGCCCCTCGTCATTTACTACTTGTTATTTGCCGCTCTGCTTGCTATGTGCTCCTTGCTGCTTGCGACTTATAACTTGCAGTACACCTGCTACGAGTGCAACGAACCTTTCTATCACTAGTGTCCCTGAAGCCTAAAACCCTAAACTTAACCCTAAACCGCCTAAACCCTAGACCCCCTAAGCCCCAAAACCCCCAAACTTTGGATGCCTCAGACGCTGCCCATGCACCTCTTCGAAGCCTTCTTCTTGGCACAGGTGGGGTGAGATTGGGGTACTTCATGGTACTTCTCAACCAATTCTAACTGTTCCTTTTAGCCACTAATAAGCCCCTTAAGTGCCCTAATATGGTTATATGTACAGTTATACTTGGTTAATAAGTGCCATGAACCTCCAAGCAAAGGGTCTTTAGGGTTTCAGCGTGATTCTGCTCGAAGTATCACGCCCCTGAGCCCCCCCACGGACCCTTCGTCAGGTTTCAGATGTTTCTGCTAGAAAGGCTCCGAGGATATGGTGGTGATAGCACGACGCGCCTTGATGCAACAAGGTGTCTACCACAGGGTTCGGGGTTGAGGGATACAACCCAAAATGATGCCTACATGGGTATTTCCCACAACAGGGGTGCCCCTTGCATCACCCCAAATGGAATCGATCCCTTAAAGAGACCCCCCCCCCCCCCCCGGGGAAACCCCAGATGCTTGCGGCTCTCAGAGTGCTGCAGACCATGTTCAGAACCAGTTCGAGTCCAGGGTGCACTAGCTAATCGGCGCTTGGGGTATCTTGGCTTTCCCCTTGTCGGCATTAGAGCCTGATTGAGGAGTTCCAGGCGTTTCGCCGCCTAAGCCTTAAACTTAAACTCTAAACCCCACACCCTAAACCCTGAACCCTAAACCCTGAACCCTAAGCCCTAAACCCTAAACCCTCCTTGCGCAAGGCCATCCTAAAGGCTGGAGGCAAGATTCCGGCAAACGCGGAGGCAGGGCTGCTATTCTTGGCCAAGACCTGCAGCAATTTTCTTGGGCTTTAGGGGCTTTAGGGTTTAGAGTTTAGGGATTAGGGTTTAGGGTTTAGGGTTTAGGGTTTAGGGTTCAGGAGTGCAGGTTGGGATGTTTCCCCTTATACTAGCAGTCCTTAGTGGGGATGATAGCACCCCCTGTTAGAATCCCTATTGAGGACTGTTTGTTAGTATAGGGGGGAACATGCCAAGTCATGCTGTTTGAGGCATGTATGTTGCTTTCCCTATCGTAGCTGATAGCTGTACTTTCCCTGAAGGCCCGTACTGAGGAGCAGGCTAGAACCGTTGCAGCGCTCGAGGAGGGTCTGAACCCGCAAGCCCAAAGTCAAACAAGTCGATTCAATTCTCTAAATGAGTCCAAGCGCATCTCTAAGCCCTAAACCCTAAAACCCTATAAACCCTAAAACCCTAAACCCTAAAACCCTTAACCCTAAACCCCAAAACCCCAAACCCTAAACCCTTGAATGCGTCCCTGTTAGGCACAGCTCTCCGGGGCGCAGGGTACACGATACAAGGCGTGGGCTCGACCGGTCCTGGCATGCCCTGGCTGAATCTAGGGGTCGGAATCATTATACTTCCTAGGTAGGACCGGTAGGATAAGGGGGACCCTTAAAAGGGACCCCTTCTTAACCCTCTTCTGGCTCTCTTAAACAGGGACCTTATTCAGAGGGTCTATATCCCCAAGGGTCCCCCTAATCCTATCCCCTATATACTAGAATACCCCCCCCAAAGCCCTGTTCTAATTCTCAAGGCCCCATACTAGGTGTTGGGTTTGCTTAGGGTTTATAGAGTTGAGGTTTGAGAGTTTTGCGTTTAGGGTTTGGGGTTTGGGTTTAAAGTGTAGGGTCTGGGCTATGCCTTGCTCCACTTACCCCAGTTCAGCCCGCAAACTCCTCCTGGCCCCCCCCCACGTGCCAGCTCGGGAGTGGGGGGTGGGGGCGGGGCCTTCAGAATCTCCAAGCTATGTTGGGCATTTCCCAGAATAGGGCCAATGGGGCCACCCTATACCCCCAAAATCAGATGTCAAACCCCAATAGGACACCCCTTCTAACACGTGTATCTTTATGGAATCCCAAGAGAAAGAGCTGTCCTTGAACCTTAAACCCCTTAATAAACCCTTTAAATACCACCCGCACCAAGGGAGAGGGGGCCGCCATGGCTCTGCTGTTCCATGTCTCCTTGCAGCTGATTCTACCTGGTCTTGCATATTGGCCACCCCGCATCCGAAATCCTGTGCCTATGGTCTGATTTCGGAAAAGCATGCTTTACCTTGTCTATGTAGAACCCTCAACAAAAATGTTAATGTTGGATGTTGCTCCTTTTTGTTGGTTCCATAAATGGGGTATCGAGGTAAGGGCCACCTCGGTGCGCACGTGGGCGGAGATTTCCGCCATCGCGGCAGCTGCGTCGGACGACACCTGGCGGCCTTTGCCACGGCTCTTTCCCCAAGTGTCCTTCAGGATGCTTCTTGATGCCCTGGTCCCAGATCCTTGGGGACCAAATGAACCCTACTCGTAAAAGGGTGTCTGGTCCATATGCCTTACAATAGGGATGATCATAGTATATAGGTATCTGACCCCAATTTTCGGGTTCATTTGGTCCCCAAGGATGTCGATTCTCGGAGCCATTTTGCCGTGAACATCGGCGCGCGGGATGGGATCATCCACGACCAGGTCTATCCGCTCTTCAAGGAGGGCTACGGCGGCCTGGCCATCGAAGCGGACGCTGCGTTCCAGGACAGGCTCGCCAGCAACCTGGCTGCTGTGAATGGCAGCAACGCTATTTTTGTTGTCATGGAGGCAGCGCAGCCCCCCAGCATCAACGCGCTGTTTCAGAAGTTCAGGGTACCTTTCGATTTCGACTGTCTGAAGATTGACATCGATAGTATCGATCTGCCGATTTTGCAAAGCATCCTGCTGAGTGGATACTCTCCGAAGTTGATCATGATCGAGATGAACCCCGACATCCCACCTCCGTTTCAAATCTACCTGGAATTTGACCCCCAATGCGTATGCGATGAGGCGAAGGGAGCCTATGGGGCATCTGCCGATGCCATTTACCGTGAGGCATCCCTGCGGGGATACTCACTCATTGCTTTCGAGTCCTTTGATAAAGACAGCCCCCGCCCTCGCACCGAGCACAACATGTGGTTTGTCCGCAACGACCTGCTGGGTCGAAACGCAGACAACCCACTTGTGAGTTGGCGTGGAATGGTTCGCATGTATTGGGCGCAGATGGCCCGGCTGGACTGCATTCACGTCGGCGTCTTAACGCCCACTGCCCAAGACATGTGTCCAAACCATCAGATCCGAGAGGTCTTTGTGGAGCTGGGAGGTCAGAACGCAAGTTGGCCATTTGCAAGGATGTCCTCCTATGTGGCGCAACAGGATCCGCTGAGCTCAATGCATCTCGCATCCTTTTGGAGATGGCAGTTTGAGCGTCACCTTTGCACGAAAGCCTGCAAGTTCTCAGCCGCAGTGGCTCGAGGCGACGGGTAAAAGGAGGGCCTCTGTGGGTCCCTGTCTTTTGGGCCGGGGCGGAGAGGGGGGGGTTCAATGCTTTCAGAAGTGGATCATCACTGCTACTCAAAGTTGAAAAGTTGCGCCATGTACCCTGAATTCAGATGGATGCGGGAAGGTTTGAAGGGAAAGCGCGAAAGGCTCTCGCAGCTTCGAATCACAACCCCTGCCTCCTGCTAATGATACCAGGTTGGCTTCGGGGACATTATTTTGCATTTTCCTTATTCGGGTTTATAAGGGACCCTATACACAAGATGTTTCAAAGGGTTTGGAGGTCACAGAGAACCACTAGTAAAAGTTCCACACGCTCCGCAAGATAAGTTTTGTCAGCCAGAACGGAAGTTTTCTTGCGATTGCAGTGGCCTTTCCCCAAAAATCATTGCAGAAAGATATGAAGCATGCGTATTAGATATGCATATTTATATGTGTATATACAACATATATATATATATATATGAATATATATATATATATATATATAGACTTGTTCATTTGAGTTCCTTGTTAGCCCAGTGGTACCCTTCTCCCTCCTTTCAGGAATATGTTCATGTGGCTACTGGGCTACGAAGGTTCAGGGCTTTCAATCACCAGGATACCCTAAACCCTAAACCCTAAACTAGGGCTTTGGCTTCAGGTTGGAACCATGGGCCAGTAGTGTGGTCCTGTGCCCTTGTTTAAAGGGATTTACAGGGATCCGAAGTATGGGCCCTGATTGCGTATAGTGTATATAAGGGTTCTACCACAAAAAACCCAAAATTAAGGGCCCATACTTCGGATCTCCAGGAAGCTCTAAACCCTAAACCCTAAACCCTAAACCCTAAACCCTAAACCCTAAACCCTAAACCCTAAACCCTAAACCCTAAACCCTAAAACCCTAAACCCTAAACCAGACCTTTGGGGATTCTAGCCGGCAGCCGCCGCGGAGGAGATCGCCATCGGCCTCAGCAAGCGCATCGCGCAAGGCTATGCCAACAAGGCACCCGTGCGGCCCAAGAAACCTAGACGAAACTCTAGGTTTAGGGTTTGGGTTTAATTAGGGTTTAGGGTTTAGGGTTTAGGGTTTAGGGTTTAGGGTTTAGGGTTTAGGGTTTATGGTTTATGGTTTAGGAAACCCTAAACCCTAAACCCCTAAAACCACCCCCCACCTCCCCTGAAGCGCCGCATTCAGGACCCCCACCTCGAATAAGAACGCCCTTGTTGCAGGTAGTCAACGGATCCCCAACATGTAGATGAAAACCCAAAACCCACCATTTTCTTCCGACGCGACCATGTTGAATGTTTAAGTTCATGCTGATACTTGCTCGCTCCTAGTAGCCCTGTCCCAGGAACTGGCTGTTGCTGGGCTAGTGACAACTGGGGTGTTTCACAGCTACCATCATTGCTTCTGCCTCATGCCCCTCTAGCTGAAGAACCAACAGAGCAAGGTCACGCGCCATGCATGCAGTTTGGTCAAGTCCTTGAGCGCGGGGTCTGCAAGTTTACCGCAAACCCGAAACCCTGAAGATTCTGCTTTTGGCGGGTTCGGGGCGAGCTGTCAGGCTCTGCAAGCATCTCCACACCTGGTGCTGCTGGAGGAGCATTTCTTCGCGGAGGCACATCGGATTGAAATGCTGAATGCCGAGCCACCAGCCCTGCAAGCAAATCTTGTGTTAGTTCTCGGCCTCCTCGACTCGAGTCTCAGCGTCGCTCCGGCTGGCCACACCTTCCGCTGCTTCCGACATGCAGGAGATGAAGCCCCTTCTCACCGAGTGGCTGATGCTGTGGCTGCGCTCGCAGGTGGCTGGGCACAAGTGTGTGTGTAAACACCGGACCCCAAGCACTTAATTCCGTTTATTGAGGGGGTACCCCTTGCAATCAAATCCCCAATCCCCAAAGGTTCCCAAGCAGGACCCTTTTGCTTCGGCAGCGTGGGGCGATGCCCTCGAGTTGGAAGTTCATGCGCAGACTCACTTTTTGCGGGGCGGTCTGGTCCCCAGCGCTTGCGGCACGATGGCCCTGCAGTCCTAAACCCTACACCGTAAACCCTAAACCCTAAACCCACATCGGCGATCCCCACTCTTCTGCCGCCAGGGTGTCATGGACGCAGCCGAGGGAGGCTGGATGCATTGAATTGTAATTGCCATGCCATCATCTTTAGGTACTGATGTCTGTATGGTTTTGTTGCTTGTTGTTCATATGTTGTGTCCTTTGTGAGGAGTTGCTATATTGATTATTTGCTGCTTATGATTCCTGCTTTTTTTGTCCATCATGTGCGTGTTTGTTCTGTGTTATGTAGTTGGGCTAGTTGTTATTAGTTTTTGGTTTAGCGGTTGTTTGTTGTGTTCTGTTACTTGTTGCTCCTTATGTCATGATTTTGTGTTATGTAAGTTGTTGTCGTGATGTATGGTATTGTCATGTTTCTTAGTAATTGCATATCATGGAGTATTGCTTACATGTTTACTTGTTGTTCCTCCTGTCTTAGCTCTCGTTTAGTCTGTGAACTTCTGTTCTGCTCATAGCGCACATACAGTAACACGTGTCCACACTCTCCCCAAGCCAAAGCCTGCAGGTCTCAACCCCGAAGAGATCAAGTCTTAAACCCTGAACCCTAAACCCCGTTTGATCCTTGGTAGGGTTTAAGGGGTGGCATGCTAATAGCAGCCAAGTGCAGGGGTGGTAAGAGATACCATGTCGCCCCCCCCCCCCCCCCTCGAGGTTCAAAACTTCCTGGTGATGGGCTTGAGCATGGTTTTTTTTTTAGGTTTTTCAGGTTTAGGGTTTAGGTGCCATGGTTGTTTTTGGGTTTTGTGTGATCGCTGCCAGATCGGCTTAATGCCCCTGCTGTTACTTGTCTGAGTTCCGTTTGCCCCTGTTGTTACTTGTCTTAGTTCCGTTCGCAATCTACGTGCATCATAGGATGCACGTATTCCTTGGGGACGAAATGAACCCTAAAATGTATTAAGGTATATGAGCCCTAAAACCTTTGAGGGTTCTTTTGGTCCCCGAGGTTGCATTCAGGCGTGTGTGTACTGAACCCAACTTTGCAACCACCGCAGAAGAGCCGCACATGGTCCCAGTGGACACAGGCTCTGCATCAAGGCTGCGAACATCGACTGTGAGCAGAAACTTGGCTTCGACGGAAGAGTCCCAGATCAGCTCAGATCACTGTTGCAGCACGTGACTGTGTCCTTGTGATCCATGCCTTATGGGCGGCCAAATCATTTTATGGCCGCATTGAGACAGCTTCCGGCTACGGCAATCTTACGAGCTATAGACCTTTTATATGTTTGGAGAGAGAGACACACGCAGTATATATATATATATATATAGATTTGCATATATATATATATGTACACACATATGAACAAATGATATCTGCAGTAGCATTGTATGTTCTTTTCGCGTTCGCTACAAAAGGGATCTTTTAGTGCCCAGGCTACCTGATGCGGGCTTCCGATGAGAAGGCTACGCCCGAACAGGAGCTTGGGGCCTTCCACAGATCTACCATCATGAAGTTCAGATCGTCGAAAGAGCTGTTGCTGCTAGTCTACCAGGACACTTGAAGCTCCTGGTCTTAAGTAGCCTTGGGGATGGCTGAAACGTCCAGTTTTTTGGGGGGGGCTGGCGGGCTCCTTCCTCCGGGACGTCCACCACCTGCCCTTCCCCAGGAGGCTGCTTTCGCAAAGCTGCCAGCCGCGCAGCGCTTGGTTTGCGGAAAGCCCTTGCACTACCCACTACTTCAGCTGAGGGTCTCAGGTAACCCAACCAACCATCAGGTCTCCGGAAGTATGGGGGTTAGACATGACCCAAAGAGTTCAGCGCCATCTCTTCCCGACGTGTAGAGTGCGGCAGGCGTGTGAATCGACCCTGCTGCTGTATCTCTCACTCCTTTGTCGTGCTTTGCTGCAACTTTAGATCCTTAGCCTTTTTGGGTTTATTGGGTTTCCTAGTAAGGCAGCTAAAAATTTGATTTATAGCTACCCTCCTAAGTGCAGCCAAGACTCCGTCCAGTCATCTGAAGTGTAACGGAACTGCCTGGCTCGAGGCCGAGATGAAGATGCTGAACCTGGCCCATGCATCTTGGCAAACTAGCAATTGCTTAAGAGCCCCAAAAAGTATGAGATATTTATTCTTCCTTATAAGGGCAATATAGTGATTATTATTTGTGTTTTTCGGTGGGTTCAGCAAACAGGAGCAAAATGGATGACGTTGGACTCACCTGGCTATAGTAGCCCTGTAACAGGGTAACCCTCAGGGTACGCATGTAGAGACAAGCTCGAGTTGTCTGTAGAGCGACTCCGAACCCAGCAACATGCTGTAGCTACATGTTTTCGTGTGTATCATCAAAGATGCCTTCTGAAGCCCAACTTGAGAGCGTTGGAAGAAGCCGCTGGTCCCGAGCGAGCCGGAGCTTTAGTGTAAGAGGCCTCAATCAGTCCACAGGAACCCCAAAAACCCTGAAGCCTGAAACCTTGGTAGTCCAATGGTACCCTTTTTCCCTTTTTTTCAAGGTTCCCTTATAAAGTACCCAACCCCCAACACACCTCATTGGGTTACTGGGCTACCAAGAAACTGTGGGATTATAGGGTTTGACCAACCGGCGCTCCAATAGGACACCCCCAGGTGGCAACCTTCTTTCCCCTTTGAGGACGTCGGTCTCCTTCTTTCAATCCCACGAGGCAAGAAGGCCTTCCCTTCAATGTATCGGAACCTCGTCATCTTCACCCCAAAACGAACTCCGGGTTCAGTGGTTTAGGGGTTTCAGGGTTTAAGGTGTAGGGTTTGGGGTTTAGGGTTAGGGTTAGGGGCCAAGGGGTGGTAACCCACCACAAGCCCGAAGCAACACAGCCTTGCCGCACCCAGTCGTGGCTCTCTCTGCTGCTGCCCCACTGCTTGGCGAAGATTGATCGGGTTTCCTTCGGCGTTATGACCAGCGAGGACCTTCTGCTTGAGTTCGCGCGCGGGTTCTATAGGGCCCAAACCCGAGCACCCTCGACCCCGAAAGAAACCCGACTCAGGGCCTAAGCCCAAAACATCCCTAAACCCCAAACCCCAAACCCTAAACCCTAAACCCTAAACCCTAAACTCTAAGCCCGAAACCCTATAGCATTTTGCGTTTCTGGGCCGTAGATGCCCCCCGGGAGGACCTCGAGAGGGCGCTGGAGGCGGATCCGAACATGCCCCTATCGCGAGGCCGACGGGGCCCCTTGGATTGGGCTTTGCAAGGCTTGAAGTTGGGGTTTGGGGGGTTTGGGGTTTAGGGTTTAGGGTTTAGGGTTTAGGGTTTGGGGTTTGGGGTTTAGGGTTTAGGGTTTGGGGTTCTGGGTTTAGGGGTCTACTGGGGCTCCCTTTACCTACTATTTTGGGGGAGGGGGTTGTGCCCTGTACTTAGGGGGTTATAACCTACTCTGTTGTGGGTTTGGGAGTACTAGGTAGGGTGTTGAAATTGGGGTTTGGGGCTTTTTGGGCTCACTGTTCGAATTTGTAGGGTCGAGGGTTTTAGGGTTCAGGAAGGCATTAGGAGTTCAGGGCTTGAGGCAGTTCAGGGGTCTGGTTGGATCTATTTCAAGGTTAGGGATTTAGAGATAGTAGACAGGGTTTTTTGAGCTGAACATTACCTTAATTCAAAGCTCTAGACATCTGTACCAGCTGTCCCAGGCTTCCTCGAAAGAGACGCCCAGACCCCTATAAACCCTAAACCCGATCTAGGACCCATTTAGGGTTTGGCCCCATATGAGCCCCTTTAACCAAAAAGCGTACCCTCTTGCGTCTAGCGGTATATTCCTATGTCGATGACGCACTGCTGCAGGCAAGCTTGCCATCCCTTTTGCCGGTGGCTTACAGCATGGGACTGCGCCCCTTTGAATCCCACAGCCAGCGGTCTACACCTTAGGATCTCCTAAGCTTGACAGGCACAACCATTGCTCCCCAAGCGCCCCTCCCCTTTTTTTTGAGCATGTGTCGAAGTCCTGTTTAGAGAGTTTTGTGGTGCCTCCTCAGCATGGGAACAGGTATCCAAGATTTCCTTCAAACCTCTCCCTTGCGATCTTGGGTCTCGGATGCCACCGTCTTGGACATTGGACATTGAAACTACAATACGGTGAGGGTCGGGATGAAAGCGGGGTGGGGGGTGGGGGCTGGGGGGGGGGGTCTATCTGCACAAAAGAGTAGCGGGGGGACGGAACGGATTTGTGGGGGATGGAATTCGGGCCCTACATATATGTATATATATATATATATATATAAAAAGAAATATAAGTAAGTTTGGGGGGGGGGGGGCGAGGTTGGCAAGGATGTGCCATCACCGACTAACGAGCCGCGGTCTCAGACCTCGCTACAGCGAGCTTTGGGTCTTACCAGGAGAGGCTCTCAGGGTCTCAGAACCCCCCCCTTGTAAACGCCCAGGAGGGACCTGTTTGGGGGATTTATCTGCGCGGAGGAGATGTAGGGTTTAGGGACAGGCTGAAGAATAGGGGTTTCATAGGTATAGTGGCCCCCTCAACCCGAAACCCATCCTGGTAGGTGCATGGTGCTGGCTGTTGCTTGTCATATAGGCCTCTGAGGCGCATGTCTCTCATGCTACACTTGGCATCCCAGGGTCGAGATTAACCCTAAGTCATAAAGCCATAAAGCCTAAACCCTAAACCCTATACACTTTAAAGCCCAAACGCCCTAAACTCGAAAGCCCTAAAGCCTGCAAACCTCAGCGTGCTCGAGCCCCGGTGGTGGATTCTGAACATTTGGGCTGTTGGGGTCCTGGGGTTTGGGCTTTTCGAATCCCAAGCCATTGCAACCCTAAGCAATATTCTCTTCGACCCCTCTAAACATCAAACACAGCCCTAAACATTAAACCCTAAATAGATAGATACATAAATAAACAAATAAAGAAATAATCAATAATTAAGAAACAAATGCACAAGAAAGAAATAGATAAATAAATGTATATATATATATATACACATATACAATAATCATAATAATCGTAATACTATGAAGAAGAAGAAGAAGTAGTACAATAGTGATATAAACCCCAAGCCCAGCTAATCCCACCCCAAGAGCAGGTTTGCTCATCCGGACATCGTGATCGGCCTGACCATCCTCGGGCGGGCTTTCGGGAACTTCTGAAGGTTTGAGGGCTGAGGGTGTCCCTACAAACCCCTCTAACTCCTAAACTTGGGATGTTCCCCCTTTTCTCAACAGTCCTTACTAGGGATTATAGTAGTCCCCCTATTAGAATCCCTATTCAGGACTGCTCGTGTAAGGGGGAACATCTCAACCCTTCACCCTGACGACCCTGAATCCACGCTATGCGCCCATCAATAGGGGAGCTGCTAGGACACGTGCAGTGGCGCTGCTTCCCTAAACCCTAAACCCTAAAACCCTAAACCCTAAACCCTAAACCCTAAACCCTAAACCCTAAACCCTAAACCCTAAACCCTAAACCCTAAACCCTAAAACCCTAAACCCTAAAACCCTAAACCCTAAACCCTAAACCCTAAAACCCTAAAACCCTAGAACCCTAACACCCTTGTAGCTCGGGCCGTCGCTGCATTGCAGGTATCGCTACGAGTTCTTGCGACTCACGGACATCGACGAGGCGCGCGGGGAGGGAGGAGGGTGCGAGGGGTTGCCTTGCCAATTTAGGGTTTAGGGTTTAGGGTTTAGGGCTATTAGGCCTTAAAATCCTCATACTGAACCCTATAAAGGGCCTTTTAAGGGATTATCGGGTATAATCGCCCATCCTGGTGTTGGGGACGAAATGAACCCTAAAAGGGTTTAGGGTTGAGGGTTTATGGTTCAGAAACCTTAGTAGGATTTTTTGTAGTACAGGGTATATGACCCCAATTTTAGGGTTCATTTCGGTCCCCAAGGCTACCCTGCGATTGGTTCATGACGGCTTCAGACCCTAAACCCCAACAAAAGGCCTCTAAGCCTCTGGTGGCAACAAGTCTACATCCCCCTTGGGTCTTATTTTAAATTCTTGTTTATATAAAACCCAAGAGGATATTAAACAATTTTTTTAGTATGGTTCTAAGGGGAGTCTAGAAGTGCGAAGGTCATCGTCCGGCTTCTGAACGACGTTCGGAAGGAGCCTGGCAGACAGCAGGAGTGGGATCTCGGGGAACTGCAAGGGTTGTTAGGGCTTCAAGGGGTTTAGGGTTTAGGGTTCAGGGTTTAGGGTTTAGGGTTTCGGGTTTAGGGTACCAGGCCTTCTGGCGAGGTTTGAGATCGATGCTTCAGCGGCCCACAACCTTCTTTCCCCCAAAAGAGCCCCGAGCGCGCTGATGCTCTGAGCGTCCTCGCCAGCTAACACGCTGTAAGCTACACTGCCCAAATATAGGGTCGGAATAAATACTCGTCATTATTCCCTTATAGTTATACATATACAAGAATACCCCCCCCCCCCCCAAAAAAAAAAAAAAAAAAAACAACCGAGTCTGATTGTTAAGGCTCCCATATTACACCGCCCTACCCCCAAACCCCTAAAGCCTAAACCCCCAAACCCCGGTCCACCCTCAACTGCCCAAACCACCCCTTATACTTAGGCTTGAACCCTAAAGCCCTAAGTATCAACCCTACCCAAACCCTGGGAACCTTCCAAACCCTCACCCTAGATTCCTTTACTCGGGGCCCCATTTAGAAACCAAAAGCTCGCAACACTTATGTAAAGAGCACTACAGAAACTCACCTAAACCCTAAACCCTAAACCCCAAACCCTAAACCCTAAACCCGAAACCCTAAACCCCCCTAAACCCTAAACCCCTAACCCCAAAAGAGGATCGGCCCTCCGCGGTTCTCTACCGGGGTTGGGTCACCGAGTCGGGTGGTCACATCTGCGCCGGGCGCCCTGGCGCCTTTTTGTAGGGTTTTTTTTGGGTTTAGGGTTTAGGGTTTAGGGTTCAGGGTTTGGGGTTTAGGATTCAGTGTTGGGGTTTGGGGTTTGGGGTTTAGGTGAGTTTTTTTCGTGAGCTTTGTGAGTGTGTTGCGAGCTTTTGGTGGTGGGGGGAAGGGGGGGGGTTGGGGTTTAGGGTTCTAGTGGTTAGGGCTGGTGGCGTTTCAGAGATTGGGGCCTGGGGTGCTTAGGGGCTTTAGGGATGTTAGGGTCTACATAGGGGGTTTAGGGGGCTCAGGGTCTATGGGGCTTCGGCGGTTTTGTAGGGGCGTGGGGTTTGGGATTTCGAGCTTCGGGAGTCCAGAGGGCTGGCTTTGGAGTCTAGAGCTGGGCCCGAAGGGTCCCTGGCCTTGGGTGGTGACTTGTGGTTTCAGAAGGCTTCTTGTGTATTGTGCCCGCAAGGCACAACCTGAGCATCCCCCAGCGAAAGAAGACCCACATGGAGCTAGAATAAACACCGAGCACGCATATACATACATATATATATATATACAGAGAGAGACAGGCAAAAGCCCAACAGCGGACGTGTGCAAAGAGCTCAAGAAGCCACAGCCTCCAGGACCCGTCTGTGCCGAACGCCGAGAAGGTGGAGAGTGGCAAAGGCCACTTGAAGCCCCTTCATTAGACCAACCCACACCCCTGAGTTCCAAAACCTCCAAACTGCAATGATTAGGTGATTGAGTGATGGTGCCCCTTACTTCTGGGTCTCTGGTCTACAGAGCTGACCCTCGGGGCTTGAAACTCAACGCCAAGGCGAAAAATTAAAATGGGTGGACTGTTCCTCCTTCTAAGGGTTCGATTCCACAAGTTTCCTTCACGTGGCCAAGGCTGAATTCAGGGTTTAGGTTGTAGACCTTGGGGACGAATTGAACCCTAAAAGGGTTGATGGTTCATACTTTATAGGAATTATAGTAGGGTATACGCCCCCAATTTTTGAATTCATTTAGTCCCCAAGGGAGTTTAGGGTTATTATAGTAGTATAGGGTATATGACCCCAATTTTAGAATTCATTTGGTCCCCAAGGGTGTTTAGGGTTCAGGGGTGAGATCTGCTCCGGATGGGCAGGAGTGCCGCCCTTGGCCCTGCTCCAGCGCTCCAACGACACGCAGATGAAGGACCCCTCGCTTGCCTGAAAGAGTTGAGGGCCCGTTTAAGCTTTTGCGGCTTAGGGTCCGAAACCCTAAACCGAAACCCGAAACCCTAAACCCTGAACCCTAAACCCTAAACCCTAAACCCAGGCTGAGCTTCTGAAAGCGTCAGGACATCTTCAAGCTCCTCCGCAGCTCCACCTCGGTGATCCAGTGGTACTTGGAGCAGCTGGTGTTCCCAAAGTACATGAGGCCGGGCCCTAAGGGCCCTTTTGGGTTTAGGGTTTAGGGTTTAGGGTTTAGGGTTTAGGGTTTGGGGTAGCGCTAAGGCTAAAGGTCCGTGAGACCATATGGGTATTTCCCAAAATAGGGGTACCCGTTTATGGCCCAAATAGAATAGAATCCCCTTCAAGGGACCGGTACCCCCATTTTCGGAAACCCCCATTTAGTGTATGCTCGGGCCTAGCCCAAAATGCCGGTCCTAAACCACGATGCCTGCACAGGTTCCAAAGCAAGAAGCTCTCAGCAAGTGGGCAGGAGCCAGGGGTAGTCGTTGAGCACTGATGCGCAAGCCACGGGCATAGATCTTGACGTCCATGCGCAACAAAATTAGGTGAAGCCACGTTCCTAAGCTAGACGCCGCAAACGCCACAAAGCCTTGGCTCTTGTGTCACAGAAAGGAGCTTGGGGCAGAGATGCTCTTTGCACGCTTGCAGCTCAGAACTGATCTTGTGCTGGTGGGTTGCACACTGCTTACACACGGGCTTAGGGTTTCGGGTTCCCTTCCCCCTCTGAGGGTCGTTTCATTGGCCCTTGATATATTGTTTCTAACCTCTTGTTGAAGGGTTCCCTTAATTTGTGTAGGGTATATACGGGGCATAATTGGGCCCATACCAAGGGACCATGTAACTACCCTAAGACCCCCCCCCCCCCCCCCCACGCAGCCCAGATCCAGTGAGGTCGCGTTGGATTCAGCGGCACCCCCACTGAGCTGCTTCCAAAGGGCCTGGGGCGTTGCCACTTCGCGTCGGGAGACCCAGGACAGGACAAGCGGCCGCGCCCCGCAAGAGGGTTTTAGGGTTTAGGGTTCAGGGTTTCGCATTAAAACCAGCTTCGAATGGTCGAGCATCTCGCCCTGGAACCCCAATCCTTCCTTCGGCGGATCTCTGGAGCTCTCATCCCTCGTTCCTGCACACTGCGACCGCGTGTAAGGGATCCCTGAAAAAGGCGGCTTCCCCTCATTCCCGGCTCCAAGATTATCCTAGTAGTAGAGTAGGCAGCCTTTAACCTTCTTGGGGCAGTATAAGCCCCTTATAATCCCAAAGGGTAACCTTTAACTCCCCCAGGATAACTATAAGTTATTTTCGGTAGACTTCATGGCAAGGCCAGGCGATGACGCGGCGATGTTTACGACCCTCACCGACCCGGCTGTGATGAGCCTCAAACAGGCGGCCGGTTACCCCAGAACTTTAGAACCCTGAACTTGGTAACCTAGGACCCAGAGCAGGCCCTTATTCTCATTCTTTTGGGGGGCCTGGCCCCCTTATCAGCTCCCTAAAACGAGGGTCCCTTCTGGCGTCCTTGTTATAAGGCGGCGCCTACTTGTTAAGGGCACCCAGAAAGGGACCCTAACTTACAGAACCGACCAAACCCTAATGTTAATTGTCCAGTGCCTTTTATGCGCGTCGACTGCGGAGCCCCAGCAGCCCTATCATCTGCCAAAAATCTCACCGCAAGCCCCCCCATACCACCATAACCCTAAACTCTAAACCCTAAACCCTAAACCCTAAACCTTGAACCCTAAACCCTAAACTCTAAACCCTACACCCTAACCTCGCCGGCTGGAACATGGAACATGTGGTGGAGCGAAGGATCTAGGGATGCCGAGTTCCGGATGCAGGTACCCTTTGAAGCCCCATGGTCATGATAAACCCCAGATGAACACCGCCTTAAACCCTGCACCCAAAACCCGAGACCCGAAACCCTGCACACCCTAAGCCCCCAACCCTAAACCCGAAACCCTAAACCCTCAACCCTAAACCCTAAACCCTAAACCCTAAACCCTCAACCCAACATTAGAATAGTCAGCTTTGCCAGATCGATGGGCAGTGGACAGTGGACGCCCTGCTGGAGCATGTGGTGGCCGAGGAGACCTGAAACCAGCCGGTGAGTTTCGGACCTTTTTTGCGGTTTAGGTTTTGGGGTTTTGGGGTTTAGGGTTTAGGGTTTTGGGGCTTTAGGGTTTTAGGGTTTAGGGTTTTAGGGTTTTAGGGTTTTAGGGTTTTAGGGTTTTAGGGTTTTAGTTGTTTAGGGTTCTAGGGTTTCAGGGTTTTAGGGCTTAGGGCTTTAGGGTTTCGGGTCATAAAGCCTCCGAAGCCCAAAGTACCAACATCCGACGACAGATGGCTTCGGGAGTTCAGATTCATTCGCTTTACAAGGGTTTAGGGTTTAGGGTTTAGGGTTTAGGGTTTAGGGGGCCTTTCGGGTCTTTTTGCAGAACGGAGGAGGCCTAAGGATGCCCTGAAACCTCTAAAGCCTAAACCCTAAGCCCGAAAACCTAAACCTTAAACCCTAAACCCTAAACCCTAAACCCTAAACCCTAAACCCTAAACCCTAAACCCTAAACCCTAAACCCTAAACCCTACTCTTGGCAGGATGTGGAGGCCCTCATCGACACTGGCGCCTTGATTACGGGTATGTCCAACCTCGAGGCTAGCAGCTGCCAGCAGGGTTTTGGGGAATCAGGGCTTGGGGGTTTAGGGTTCAGGATTTAGGGTTTAGGGTTAAGGGTTTACGGTTTTTTTGGTTCAGGGTTGCGGAGGCTCAGGACCCTAAACCCTAAATCCTTTATAATCCCTAAACCATTAACCATGGCCCGAGATTGCGTTGGATCCTTCGCTTGTTTTTGGGTCGATCCCCTGGCCTCCGGCAGTGGCCTCCGGCTCCCTGGGTTTAGGGTTTAGGGTTTAGGGTTTAGTGTTTAGGGTTTAGGGTTTAGGGCACCCTTGCAACCCTTTGCTCCCCAAGCTTCCGCGCTGATGCCAAAAGCGGAAGATGACCCCCCCCACAGACTGATAAGGCGAGTTCCAGACCGTATAGGGAGCCTCATGCTACGCCTGGTGCAAGGAAAGCTCGCAAAGGGGCAAGTACCCTAAACCCTAAACCCTAAACCCTAAACTCTAATGGTCGTCTGCTTTGTTATCAGACCAGGGGTGCCCATGATCCCTCAACAGAGGAGCCAAGTGGCTTTTGCTTCCTCAAGAGCACGGTTCCCTTTGTGAGCAGCCCATTGCAGGTAGAAGCATCCGTGTTGCAACGGAAATCTCCAAAGCGACCAAGGTCTATTCCGTAGTTAGAGTGGGTGGGTCGGCAGGTCGGTGGGCGGGCGTCCGGTATAGTTCATGACAAGGTCCTCTAAATTTTGCTTGAACCAAGCCTCACACGAATTTCGACTGGCGGGCCGGGGAGATATGGTTGATGGGGGTCGGCACGGACGCGGAGCTGTTTGTTTTCAGGACAAGGCCGATGCCGGACGAGTGTATGGTGTGAAAATCCAATGGCGCGCAAGGACATCGGCTGCAAGCGCTGTCGGTTTAAGAACATCCACGGAGCGCATCTCCTTTCCTCGCGCATTTTTATCGCAGCTTGACCAAGCCAGCGAGCCCCCTAATCAGCAGGCTTCATCTACCCAAGACAATGCTGAAAGGCCAAGGAAAGCTTCGAGTCCCATACTCGCCGCGTCCTGGGCCCTTCAGCACTGACCTCAAACGACGAGCCGCCATTGTCACTTGGGAATCGCAGCTTCCCAAGACTTCAGCGCACGCATGAAGAGTCACGATTGCAGCGCACAGATCAAGGCTTCCATGCCGATTTCACGTTAAAGCTGCCACCAAAAGAATCCGCTCTGAACCAACGGTCGCTGTGCAGAACCAAAACAGCGAGCTCGTAACTAGATCGTAACTTGTTTGGAACTAAACCCTAGCTAGCCCCTTATTTCTTCGGTACACTTCCATAACTTACCCTTTAACCCCCATATCTAATGATAAAAGTAGGATAGTAGTTCGGGGTGAACATTGGGGGGTTAGCCGACTCAGAACCTGTAGGGCCCGGCTATCAGAGCTGCTGCCATCGAGCCTGAAAGGAACCAAGGAGCTCAGCAAGAGAGGCCTTAACGCCTTAATGCCTTAGTTGAACTGTATAGGGGCCTCTATACTCTATAAGAAGGTGCTGCGCAGCTACTGTGCCTTGCCACGACTGTAACCTCCTGTTGCTGCGATGCAGTATGAATTCGATTTCTATCTCGGCCCTAAATCCTAAACATAAACTCAAGCCTAAGCCCTGACCCTTGAACCCTAAACCCTAAACCCCTTCAGAAACACAAACCTTAAATCCTTTGGACAGCGCCCTGGCGCGATGGTAAGCACGCAGGTGGCGCAGTTCCTGGCCGGACATAAGGATTTCAAGAAGTCGGCAGCTGACGGCTAAGCTTTTCGGGTTTAGGGTTTAGGGTTTAGGGTTTCGGGTTTGGGGTTTAGGGTTTCGGGTTTAGGGTTTAGGGTTTAGGGTGCTGATCCGTGTGCAAGCTCGGTAGGGTTTTGGAACATTCTGCATTTTCCGTTGGGTTTGGGAGGATCATGTTCAGGAATATGTTTCAGAGGGCTTTAAGGGCCCTGGGATTTTCTGCTTCTTGGCAGGAAATTGGGGATTTGGGGTTCCTGTAGAATCCGTTAAGAGAGATTGAAGGTGTCTACCCAGTTCCCAACGAAGAGCCAGTAAGTTTATGATTTATGGTTATAGGAATCAGCAGAGTTTCCAGAACTTCGAAATGGGCCACTTGTCCTTTTCGTTCCAAGGTCGTCTACCTCAATGAAGCGGATGCCAAGATGGTGTATGTACGAAAGACGAAACTCGGAAGCATTCAAATGATTGTGATGTTTCCAAGCAAGCATTGCTAAGCTGGCCGCATGAGATCGAGCGTTTTTCGCTCCAGTGTGCCAGCTGGAAGTTCTACGGGTATTCAGCCGCAGCATATTTGCCATTCACTCGTGCGATGTCTTTTTAAATGTGGGGAACCGCGCGCACTTCAGAAGCATGTCTGTCTGCTGCATTTGGCGTGCATGGCGTGCTGGCTCGCCCTGTAAATTCCTTAGTCCTTAAACCCTGGACGCCCAAACCCTAAACCCTAAACCCTGAACCCTCGAGCAACCCTAAACCCTAAACCCTGAACCCTAAACCCTAAACCCTTAACCCTTAACCCTAAACCCTAAACAAACCGATATTTCAAGCTGACCTCCAAGGAAGTCGACCATGAAATTGGAGGATTGCGGTATTCCCCTCACCGACCGCTTTGCATTCTATGACCAGGCGCCTCAGAGGTCCTTACCTGGATAGGGTTTAGGGTTTAGGGTTTAGGGTCTAGGGTCTAGGGTTTACGGTTTACGGTTTAGGGTTTAGGGTTTAGGGTTTAGGGTTTCCGGTTTATAGGGTTTAGGCTTTCGGGTTTAGGGTTTAGGGTTACTAGGCCTTAAAATCCTCACAATGAACCGTATAAAGGGCCTTTTAAGGGATTGGAGGGCATAGTAGCCCATCCTGGTAGATGTCTTTAGCGTGCTAGGCGTTGGTGTTTAGGGTGGTCGATCCTTGTCATTCCGCAAGGGTTATTTCTTTGTTTTTTTTTTTTTTGGGGGGGGGGGTTCTTAGTAGCAACTAGTAGAAATGGGGCATCGGCAAGTTGGAGCCATCTACAGGTTCAGCAACAGCCCGAAATCTGAAGCGCACATGGCATGGCATTAGGAAGCCTTTCCTACACCTAGTACGGGTCTTGAGACAGGCTAAAATGTTGAGGGTCTGGGTTCCTGCGGCAATCGAAAGACAGGTGCACACTACTGGTATGGACATCCAGCACAAGCCGGATGCGCGAGCCGTGCTCACTCTCGGGAAGGCAGTGTGATTTTTGCGGGTTTGGGGTTTAGGGTTTAGGGTTTAGGGTTTAGGGTTTAAGGTGTAGTCCCCTTCTTGCACTTACTTGGTGTTCCAGTGTGGCGCTCTCTACGCTACCTTATTGACGAGCGGCAGGTGATTTTCATCCATACTTATCACTGCATCCACGGTTGCCAGGTGTAAGCTGTTCCTTGGGGACCAAAAGAACCCCAAAAGGGTTTAGGGCTCATATACCTTCTTAGGAATTATAGTATTATGGGATATGTAACCCCCCATTTTAGGGTTCCAAGGTTTGTACCACGGAAGTATCCTCACGAGGGCGCCTCTTCCCGCCCACATCCCCACTGGCACAGGACATGGTTTGGAGGGACTACTGCCAGGCACATCGTCACTGTGCTTGAGTTTTCAGATGTCAGAACTACGCGAAGCTGCTTTGACCTCTGAACAGCCCCTGCTACCTTAAACCCTAACGCTAAACGCTAAACCCTAAACCCTAAACCCTAAACCCTAAACCCTAAACCCTAAACCCTAAACCCTAAACGCTAAACCCTAAACCCTAAACCCTAAACCCTAAACTAAACCCTAAACCCCGCCAAAGCACAGAAACGTCCAGGGAGCCTACCGCATGCGCGGGATCAACCGTGGCCAACGGGTCGTTGTGTACGCCATTCCAGAGGCCGGGGGCCTTAGAAAGGGGTTTTGTACCAACTGGCCTGTTAATGCACTGAGTGGCCAGAGCCGGTTTAGGGTTTAGGGTTTAGGGTTTAGGGTTTAGGGTTTAGGGTTTAGGGTTTAGGGTTTAGGGTTAGGGTTTAGGGTTTAGGGTTTGGGCTTCAGGGTTTAGGGATTATAGGGTTGAATCAGGGTTTAGGGTTTAGGGGTTGAATTCTGTAGCCGACTGCTCCAATTGTGCTCGGGGAGGTGTCCAAGCTCATCGATACGGCCCTCGTTGGCGTCAATATCAACGCCGAGTCATTGAGGCACATCCGGTGGGAAGTGATGCCATCCATTCGTGGCATGTGCTTGCCTTACCAGGGTGGGCTGTTAGGCCTTAAAATCCTCATAATGAACCCTATAAAGGGCCTTTTAAGGGATTATAGGGTATAATCGCCCATCCTGGCAAGACAGCCCCTGAAAACATGAGCGCGAAACGCCACTGAGTGAGACTTTGCAAAACCCTGGAAATCCTTCCCAAACCCTAAAGCAAGAAGGCTACGGTGCTCAGCCTTCGTTCGAGATGGCAGCAACAAGCTTGCAACGAAAGCAGCCCAAAAAGCCCTAACTCGTAAACCCGCACAGAACCATAATCCTCAGAACCTTCCCAAACCCTATAGACCCTAAACCCTGATAACCTAATCCCCAAGCTCTATAGACCCTAAACCCTTAGCCCTATAGACCCCAAACCCTACACCCTACACCCTCTGCCCTAAGCCCTAAACCCTAAACCCTAAACCCTAAATCCTAAACCCTAAACCCAAAGCTACCCAGGGCTCCTTTGGTGCGCGTCGTCGCCTGGCTGGTGTTGAACGGCCTCCGATCCGAGCGTGTCCAAGCTGGCATGCTGAGGCTGGGAAGTTGAGGTTTTATGGTGCCCTAAACCCTAAACCCTAAACCCTAAACCCTAAACCCTATACCCTAAACCCTAAACCCTAAACCCTTGGATTGAGGCCTTAGGGTGTATTGGGTGGAGGGTTTCGAGGGCTTCGAGCGCTTGGGGTTGGGGTTTGAAAGGCTTTTTTTGGATGTTTTGAGATTGAGATGTGGTTGCGCTGCAGTACATTGGTTTGGGAGTTGGAGGTTATCATGGGTTTTCCCCTTCTACCCCCCTCTATACTACCTCCTTAGGTTCCCCCAAAAATAAAGGCAGCCTAGTTAGGGTCATTTAAGGGGGGAACCTGGGGGGGGGGGGGTTAGTATAGAGGGGGGTAGCAGGGAACTTCATGAGTTTAGGGCATGAGGGCCTGTAGGTTTAAGGATGTTCAGTGTGTGTGCGTTGGGCTCGGCAATTTACAGGGGAATGCGGCATTCTCCCAGGGAGCAACCCTGCACAACAGCCCAAAGAGCCCAAAACCTCTCAATTAAGGAGTATTCCTTAAACCATCTAGGGATCCTGAGTACGATTTCCTATTCCTTAGTTCACGCATTGCCGGAACTTGGAATGGTTAGCCGGGATTTCAGTAGGGCTGCCATTTCCCTTCATGGGTCCTGCCTTCTGGGGTTTCGGGTTTAGGGCTTCCAAGCTGGACATAGACGGGAACATCCATGGAGCTGCCTCACTGGGACAGGTCTCAAGACTCTCACACGCTCTGGCGCAGGCACGCGACAAGCGTCCAATGTTTCGAGCTGACAAATCCAGGGTTCAGGATTTGAGCTTCGGCTGTGGCCGCCAGAGTAATCCTAGACTCCTAGACCCTAAGCCATGAGGTATCACTGACCAGCACGAGTTATTTGGAAAGCTAAACCCTAAACCCTAAAACCCTGGACCCTAAACCCTAAAAACCCGAGACCCTAAACCCTAACCCTAAACCCTAAACCCTAACCCTAAACCCCAAACCCTAACCATAAACCCTAACCCTAAACCCTAACCCTAAACCCTAAGAACCCGAAACCCTATAAGCATCCCTACGCCCAGACAGTGCCAGGCCGGCGTACTCCTGGCTGCAGGAGCACTCCGAAGAAGCTAGCGGCGAGGAGGCCGGGTGAAGCTGGCAACCGACCAGGGTCGGTTGCCCTCGAGTTGCCTGGAGTCTTCTTCGTGCTATCGATGCTTTTTCTTGTTTGTTTTTTTTTCTATATATATATGTATACATATTAGATTTTCTTTCTTTTATATGTGTATATTCATTATGTAGAAATTTGATTTATATTTCTGCTCGGGGTAATCTCTGTTTGGTAGCATTGATTTTGGTAAAGTTTGATTTTGTTTTGCATAATAATCGTGGATTTTCAGAACACTACGAAGTTCAAAAATAGTATAGTTTTCGGAGTTACTGTCGTGTCATTTGTGCAACTGATGCACAGTTTCGAAATCGTGTGAGTTTCTGGCGTCTAAGTAACTAGTGAAGGCGTTCTGATTCCTACTGAGTAGCACAGCAAACAACTTTTGCATGTAAGCCCTTTCGGTGTTTGAGTAGGGTGGCTGTCCATCGTTGGGACAAGGCGCCAGGCGCGACTTGTGCGTTCGTTGTCGTCGCACGTTTTCTCGTTGCTGCAGCGTGCTACTTGTATGAGTACCGTCGTCACTGCGCTTGTCACGGGTAGTCGTCGCCTTTGGGCCTGCGGCCATCTCCCGGTTACCCTCGGTTTGTAGCACACCGGCGGTCACCCGTTCGGTGGCGGTCACCCGTTCGGTAACGTGAGAGACACAAGCAGGGCGGGTTTTGTTTTGTGCCGGGGCCTTCCTAGATTTTGGGCACTCTGGGCTTGCGGGGCAGGTTTATTGATTGGGATGCTGCGGGGCTTCTCTGCTTTGAGATACCATCGGAGAGAAGGGACTTAGGTTGCGGGTTTAGGGACGTCGGGCGATGGCGCGGAAGGAAGGAGGTAAACCTTTTGAGGGGCAAATTCCACAAAACTCAGCAGGACCAAAAGTGGGGTCTGCAAGCTTCTGACAGCCCCAGGAAAGGTTTCCGATGTTTATGAAAGAGGTTAGGTGGAAGACTCGCCCAGCGAAAAGATGCATGTGTGCGAGGTCGGGAGGTTAAACGAAACTCGCAATCGCTGGGAACTTTGGCGCACACATCAGGAACGGGGAAGGGTCTCCATCCAAACCCGGACTCTCTTCGCTTTGTGGCTTGGGCTGGAAGCCTTCAGGCATGACAGATACTCGAAATTTGCCCTAAAACCTCAAACCCCAAACCCTTATATAAACCCTAACCCCCCAAACCGTAAACCGTTAAACCCTAAGCCCCCAAAGCCTTTAAGCCCTTGGACCCTAAACCGCCCAAACCTTAAACCCTTAAACCCTAAACCCCCAAACACTAAACCCTTATAAACCCAAAACCCTAAGGCCCCAAAACCTTACACCCTTAAACTCTAAACGTTAAACCCTAAGCCCTAAAGGTCACAAGACCCTAAACCCCCAAGCCTTAAACCCTTAAACCCTAAACACTAAACGGACCCTGTCCAAGTCTTTGCCTGTCGAGGCGAAGAAGCACCTGGACATTTTCGAGGCGACAAAGATGTCACGAGCATGTGGTAGGGGGGGGGGGGGGGGGGGGGGGGGGCAGTTCTCTCAACTTACAGTTGAACTTTAAACTTGTTTGGTTTCCTTCTTTGGTAGGAATAGGGGCTCAGAGGGACTTATGGGGTTTCGGAAAGGGCTGCAAGTCAAGCGAGTCAAGTCTGTGACAACTGCAGGGCTTCTGATTCCGCATGGGGGGGGGGGTTGTCCTTATCGCAGAGCCTCAATAAGGTCATAACTTACTGGCACATCGCAGGGAATGCGGGGAATTTGTCGCTCTGTATGATCCCTGAAGAGTTCCCTCGTTCCCTACTAAGAGTCCTTAGGATAATTGACTTGCTTCTCCAATAACCAAGGCTTAAAATGGTTCCTAAACAACCCAAGCCTAAACCCCGAACCCTGAACCCCAACCTTTTACACCCCCCTAGGGTTTAGGGTTTAGGGTTTGGGGTTTGGGGTTTAGGGGGCAGGGTATCTCTTAGACCCTAAGCCCTATCTCTCTTGAACCCTAGGCCCTGTGCTGTGTAGCCCTAAACCATCTGCCTTCCTGTACACAGCAGCCCGACTCAGCTAGCTACGAAGTGAACGATAGGAGCCCCTTGATCTCGATCTGGCCTCCAGCATTCCAAGGCCGCGGGAGTTCAGGGTTTAGGGCTTTATCTGGGTTTTGTTTTCTGGTGTTTTGGGCTTGAGGGTTTGGGGTGCATGATGGACTACGTAGGATTGAGGGTCTGGAGGCTGTATAGGCTTCAGCTGTCTTGGGCATTCCGGGTATAGGGGTTGACAGGTTCTTTGTCTAGGTTGTCTTGGGAACCTACCGCTCCCCTTCCTCAATGAGAATAGCATGTAGCTAGCAACACACGACCCTAACCTGGGTAAGTCTGTGGCGAATTTTTGATGGCCAGCAGTGCGACCCCCCCACCCCCCCCCCCCACCCCCCCACGGCTGTTCTTCGTGCACTTCTGACAGGCCAAAGAGCTTGGCCGAAGCCATCGAGGAGCGCGCGAAGGACAAGGAGTGGCACGGACACCCAGATGCTGGCGACCGGCACACCTCAAAACCCAAAAACCCCATGTGAGCTAGAGCTATCATCTAATCGATTTCCTGAAGCCTAAGCCCTCTAATAGGAAATCTTCCCTTTTCATGTGTTAAGGAGGCTAACCAACAGCTTTAGGGCTTAGGGTTTGGGGTCTAGGCGAAGCCCTCCTCAACAACTCTGCTTCGAACCCTAAACCCTAAACCCTAAACCCTAGACCCTAAACCCTAAACCCTAAACCCTAAACCCTTCTTGGACCTGAGGCTTCTGGGGAAGGAGCAGCTCGAGGAGCTGCACCGCCTTGTGGGCGTTTCTGCAGAGTCGGAGCAGGCCCCCACCCTAAATCCTTCAGGGGCATAAACTCCAGAAACTTGGGGTTTAGGGTTTAGGGTTTAGGGTTTAGGGTTTAGGGTTTAGATCCTTGGGGGCATAAGGGGGTGTATAAGGGGGCTACGAAGTACACAAAGGTGCATTGATTCGGTAAAATAGATGTAGATAGAAACAAATTGTTTGTCTAGTCTATCGATTAAGGTTTTGTATTATTTTGGGATAGAAGGTGTATAAGGTGTATAAGGTGGGTATACGGGGGCCCTAAACCCTAAATCTGGGCCCTAAACCCTAGCCCTAAATCCTAAACTCTTAGGGTTTTTTTTTTTGTGGGGGTTTGGAGTCTAGGGCTTAGGCTTCTAGGAATTCCCCCCCCCCCCCCTCCCCCCCTTTACCTTTTTTGTGTTCCCGGTTCCCTTAGAAGCCCATGCCAGGCTCCCCCAAGTTTAGGGTCTAGGGTTCAGGGCTTAGGGTGCAGGGTTTTGGGTTTTAGGGTTTAGGGTGGCCGTGTGGTATTCATAGGATCCCATCCTACCAGTTCGGCGGCCTTTGGGGCTTCTGGTGACTTATGCTTGTACGGAGTTGGAGATGTCCTGCTCATTCTTTGTCTTCGGTCTTAACCGCGGGATGTGCAGAGTGTAACGCGGCTTCAGGGCTTGCAGGGTTAACCCTGAACCCCAAACCCTAAACCCTAAACTTTTAGGCCCTAAACCCTAAAGCCTAAACCGGGTTATATCTCGCAGCTATTCGTTCTCCCCAAGCACAGCCACAGAGGCCGTGTTTTGGGTGAGATGTGCCTTGTCCCAGGGCCCTCCCAAGACCTCCACCTAGACGCTTAGGGCCTAGGGTTTAGGGTCTTGGGTTTTGCTTAAGAACCCGCCAAATTTGCCTCCTATAAGGCAAATATAGGCAAGATGATCTTTTTGTTGCAGGCGCTCTGGAGCAACTAATAGTAGATCCTAAACCCCAAACCCTCACAGGCATGTCGAGTAACTTTTGGGCCCCCATCGCACCATCTCGTGTGGGGAACGGCGAAGTCTTGCGAAGTGTCAGGTGAACGTCAGTACCGCAGATCAGGAGCAGCAGCAGGAGCAGGACCGGATGGAGGGATCGGGCATGTGTGCGCGTAGTGAGTGACGAAAGAGATCCCAGCGGTTTTGGAGCCGTTGGTAATTGTCACTGCTAAGCTGCTCTTCGCAGGAGCAGGAACAGGAGCAGGAGCAAGAGATCGAGATCGAGAAGTTCGCAGACTTAGGCGTGTGGCATAGGGATTTCGGGGGGGCTTGAACCGCAATTCCCAGCAGTGCCATCATTTTCACCCCGAGTGCGTGCGCTACATCGTCGTCAACATGAGATGCTTCATGGCTGCTTGCCTCCCTGGACTGATGAACCCCTGAAACCCCTTGACCCACGCCAGGCCTCCAGCATCCAGATCAGTGCATTTAGGAGGCCCCTTAAATGCCCTAATAGGGTTATAAGTGCACTTATCAGTACACTTATAAGTACAGGTATTATTGGTTAATACGTACCATGAACCTCCAAGTAAGAGCAGTCTTCTACTCAAGGCAGCCTCTCCTCTAGCCACGGCCCCCCACCCCACGAATCCTGGGCTTCCCCGCACCGACTGAAGCGCTGAATCTTTTCAGCGCCTCAATGAAGCCTAAAATTCAATCCCTAAACCCTCTCGGATCTGAGAGTTCGCCATCAATAAACTCCGATAGGACTTTGGGGTTTAGGGTTTATGGGGTTTAGGGTTGCAGCTCGGGTAAGCTCCCAGAACCAGGAAAATCGCGCCTCCGAACTTCAAAGCGGCAAGGCCCCCAACACGCCAGAGCCCAACTTAGCACCCTGACTCCCTAGCAGCCCTTCAAAACACCTGTAGTTCTTGCCCTGGAATCTGAAGCCCCCAAACCCTACCTAGCAGTAGAGTAGGTAACCTTTAACCTTTTTGGGGTAGGATAATCCCCTTACAATCCCAAAGGTTAACCTCTAATTCCCCTAGGTTACTGGACAACTAAGCCTAAACCCCTCAAGCCCTAAACCCCCTTCCTTTGCGCGTGGGCAGGCTTCCAGAGGGATGGCGAGCGGCCCCTTTCCTGGAGCTACGCCCTCCTGACACAGGGCCGCGAGGCGACTTAGGGTTTGTCTGGATATCACCCCGTTTAGGGTTTAGGGTTTAGGATTTAGGGTTTAGGGTTTAGGGTTTAGGGATAGTTCCCTCAAACCCTTAAACCGAAACTTTTCACTTCCTCAACCACCCTGAGGTTCGTAAAGGGCAGTTGCTTAAGCTTTGCTTGGGTGGGGGCATCTGGGCACAAGGCGGAGGCGAGGGGAGGTGAGAGGGATATAGAAGGAGCCTATGAGAAGGGTGGTGTTGGGATGAAGGGGTTGAAGGGGGACCTTTCGGGTGCATCCCTATAACTATAACCCTACGGGTTCAGAGGGTTTTTGAGTGCAAGGCTGCTGTTGGCCTGGACCGCGAGCGACCTTTCTACGAGGCGCCAAGGGATTGAATCGGATCGGAATTGGCCTTTCGCACATGATCTGGAAGCCCCAAAGCCCTAAAGCCCTAAAGCCCTAAAGCCCTAAAGCCCTAAAGCCCTAAACCCTAACCCCTGATAATCCTACACCCTATAACCCAAGCCCTAAGCCCTGTGACTCTACAAACCTCAGCAATGCCCAAAAAAGCGCCCTCAAGCCCTGCCTCCCTAAAGACCCCCCTCAAACAGAGGCCAAGAACTTCCAGCTCTACAAGAAGCAGCCCTTGAACTTCCCGGAAGACCTGCTCCTCAGCCGGCACCTTGTCGTCAGTTGGATCTCCGAAAGGTTGGGGGGGGGGGGGTTTTTAGTCCACGGGCCCCAAGGGACACGGTTTTCCCCCTCAACAGCTTTGTCGTACAGAGATCAGCAGCTCTCCGAAAGTTGTGTCGCGGGTGTAAGGCTTAGGATGCTCCGGTTTTTGGAGGGTTTGTGGAGTCTAGAGTGTAGGATTCAAAGTAGGGCTTTTCTTGTCTCAGCTTTGTGTTCCCTGTTTGCTCTGCGCAGCTTCTAGGGTATCTGTACACCCGAAACCCTAAACCCTAAACCCTAAACCCTAAACCCTAAACCCTAAACCCTGAACCCTGAACCCTGAACCCTGAACCCTATGACAAGTGTGAAGCAGGAACTACTTCAACCGCTACTGGTTGGGCCACCGGAGACTCAAGAATGCTGTGATGCTCCTAAGCTGCATTCAAGGAGGTCCTGTCAAAGCTTGGGGTGTGCAGCCCTGAACCCTAAACCCTCAACCCCCAACCCTAAACCCTAAGCCCACAACCCTTTGGGTTCTGGGTTCCTGCAGGATATCCCAACACACGTCAAAGGGCCCCCTTACCATTGAAATCGTTGCTGGGCTACGCAGCCACAGCAGTATGAGTAATCACCCCTAAATCCTCTAGCCTGAATTAAGGATGCCCAGAAGTACCCATATTCCGGTTTTTGCAGGGCCCGATATTCCTGACGTACACCTGGCACTTTGTTTGTATTAGGATAGTTTTTTCCGGACCACAAGGCCCTGCATCCTACACCCCGAGCCGACTAGGTCTCTTAAGCACGCAGGAGTCGGCACACTGGTCAAAGATCGTTGGTCCGTTGCACTTGTTCGCTTCGAAGCACAAAGCTCGAAACACGGCCAACCATGGTTCATGGTATGATCCTAAACCCTAAACCCTACAAACCCTACAACCCTCTAAAGCTCCAAACTGCCATAAGCCCCATAAACCCTATACAGGCGAAACCCTGTAAACCCTAGGCCTACAAGCCCTAAAACCTCTAGAAGCCCTAAACCCTCCCTAAACCCTAAACCCTAAACCCTAAACCCTAAACCCTAAACCCTAAACCCTTTTGACCCCCAACCTTAGGATGTTGGAGTGGATCCCGCGGGTCGGCGAGCTCAAGGAGCAAGCGCGCGAGGCCGGCGCCCAAAGAAAGCAACAAGACGGAGGGAAGGTCGACTTGTGGTTCAAGGTGTAACCCTAAACCCTAAACCCTAAACCCCAAACCCTAAACCCTAAACCCTAAACCCTAAAACCCTAAACCCTCAACCCGGTTTCCTAGACCCCAGGATTTGGGGTTTAGGGTGCAGGGGTTGGAGTCTAATCTACGGTTCCAGGTATGGGCCCTTAGTTGGGGTCCCTTGCTGGATAACACGTGCAAACGCAATATATATATATATATATATGTAAGTATATATATATATATATATGTATACTACGGGCCCATACGGATCCCTATATAAACAAGGCTAAGGGACCACACCAAGGGCCCGTGGTTCCAACCTTCGATCTGAGGTGAAGAGTATGGGCTCCGCATGGCATAGATGTGGAGTGGAATTTACAAAAGATATGTCAGGACCCAAAATTCAGCGCCTAGGACTATGAGCTCGTGCTTGACATCATGGTTTAGCATTCAGGATGTAGGGTTAAGGGCTTAGGGTTTGGGGTCTAGGAGTGCTTCTGACGTCTGAGCGGGAAGCAAGAAGTGAAGCACACCCTGACTTTCACAAGCAGAGCATTCCGACACATGGCTAGGCAGGGCTTTGGGACATGTTTTTCCCCTTGTTGGGTTTGTGGGGGGGGGGGGGGGGGGGGGGGGGGCATGGTGTTCCTCTTTGGCTTCCTGATTCTGCTCTTCCTAAGCTGCCGTCGTCTTACATCTATCCTTTTACTGGAAGTCTAAGCCTTCCTTCCCCTAAACCTCCCGTAAACTAACAGCCCTTAGTAGGGATTATACTAGGGGGTTACTCTAATCTCTTTTGAGGACTGTTAGTACCTGCACTCCTAAACCCTAACCCCTACCCCCTAAACCCTAAACCCTAAACCCTAAATAACCCCCCGAAACCCTCAACCCCCTAAAGCCCTTGGAACCCTCAATCCGAGAGAACGCGATGAGGCCTGGACTGCGGAGGAGGAAGGGCAGCTCTTGGACATCTGGAGCGTGTTGACCAAGGCAGCTCCATTTCCAATTTATTACCGTTAGTATTGTAGATAATTATATGTATATGTATATGTATATGTATGTGTATATGTATATGTATAATATATATATACATATATATATATATTATGCACACATAAGTATATGTGTGTTTATTTAATTTATTTATTTTAGCTTTTATTTATTTATATATGTATTGTTTCTTTAATGTTTTGTTTAGGTGGGGGTTCGGCTTGATAGGGTTTAGGGCTTATTGGGGTCCATTTCGAGACTGAGGCTGGAAGCTCGGTGCACAGAGTTGGCCCGGGTGCCCTAAACCCTAAACCCTAAACCCTAAACCCTAAACCCTAAACCCTAAACCCTAAACCCTAAGTTCAGCGGGGTTGCCTTGTCAGGACACTGCGAAGGACAAGGCGAATGACCAGGCCGTCCAGAGTGAACCATGGAAGCCAAGGTTTAGGGTTTAGGGTTTAGGGTTTAGGGTTTAGGGTTTAGGGTTTAGGGTGTAGGGTGTAGGGGTTAGGGGTTAGGGGTTAGGGGTTAGGGAGTTTAGGGTTTCGGCTTTCGGGTTAAGTTAGCGGTGTAGGCAGTTCAAGGGTGTAGGGGTATTGCTCACATCGGAATGTGAGCGAGTGCCGTCGGCAAAGCCTCCATGCCCTGTAGAGCCGTGATGGGCCTGGGCTCAAGCCCCCACGTCTTGGAAGTCTAAGATAGGAGAATTGTTTGAAGAAGTCCCTGTAAGCTCCTGTCAGCCCAAAACACCCTGTAAGCCCGACAAATTCTGCAACTAGCAACAAGATCTTTTTCCAGATGAAGCGGGCGACCGGGAGCATCAACGGCACGATTTTGAAGGACCTGCTGCCTAGCTGGGTTTCGGCTTTGGGGTTTAGGGGGTTTACGGCTTTAGGGTTGTACTTGGGGGTTTACGAACATAAGGTACCCCTAATATAGACCCCCAAATAGGAGGGTGCCCCTTTAGTAAGGACCCCAATAAGGCACCCCTAATTTCGGAAGCCCCCACATCGTTATCGCTTCAGAACTTTGTTTTTTTGGGCTCCGGATTTTGGGTTTTTGCTAAGTTTTTTGCCTCTTCGATTGCGCGGGGTCAGCCTTCGAAACTGGCCCGCCCCAGGCCAACAGGTGTAGAACTTTCGACCTATACACCCTAAACCCGAAGCCCCAAAACCCCCAAAGCCACAAGCTTTGCTCTAACAGGCTGAACCCCGTACTACTAACGAACCCTGAACCCTCAACCCTCAAGCCCGTGTATCTTGAAATTATTCAACGGTCCAAAAGAGAAACATTCCTGGAAACTCCTCGAAACTTCCCCCTCGGACCTCAACCCTGAACAATTTCAAGAAACCCTAAGCAACCATAAGCCCCAAACCCTTCCTGGCTCCCCAAAGCACCCGCCTTTGCCCTCTTAAGCTTCTGACCCACCACGGCAGAAACAAGACCACATCAATCGCGGATTCCGGCTAAGAATAACCCCAAACCCTAAACCCTTTCACTCCCTTTCACGCTATGGTCCAGCCTCGGTGAAGAAACCCTAAACCCAAAACCCTATACATGGTCCGTTTATGTTTACTCCAACCCCTTCGGAAACCGGGGGGGGGGGGGGCTTCTGGTCTCATGAGCTCTCAGGATCTCCACCCCGAAGAAACGGTGAACCCAAACTCAAGTGTAGGGTTTAGGGTTTAGGGTTTAGGGTTTAGGGTTTAGGGACTCCAAAGCCCTGGAACTTCCAGGAACAAGAAGGCAACCTCTACAAAGCCCCCAGGGCCCTATTCAACACTCGCAAAACCCTTGACATTCACGTTAACAAACACACCCGCCCCCCCCCCCCCCCCTCCCCCCCCCATGATATCCTCCCCCCCCCCCCCCCCCCCCCGGTGGTTCATGGTGGGTTTTGGGTTCCAAGACACAAAAGCCCTGTTCTAAACCTTAAAACCGCAAAACGCCCCCACCATAAACCGAGTCTCAGATATACGCCACCCTTTTTGTAGGTGCATGGGCAGTTTTTCCTAGCGTGCGAAGTATCCTAAGCAGGGTTCTAAGCAATTCTAGCCCAAGTTACCCCCCGACTTCCATACACAAACCTCAACTTTCGGGTTTCGGGTTTAGGGTTTAGGGCCCTAAACCCTAAGCCCACAACTACCCACGAGCCTCCCCTAAACCCAAAACCCTAAACCCAAAACCCTAAACCCTAAACCCTAAACCCTAAACCCTAAGCCCTAAGCCCTAAGCCCTAAACCCTAAACCCTAAACCCGAGCTCTAGGATCTCCAGAGCTCTCTGCATGGCCTCCCCGAGCCCACGCGCTTCGCGGCCTTCCTCGCGGCCCGGGGGCCCAGCGAGCCCATTAGGGTTTGGGGTTTAGGGTTTAGGGTTTAGGGTTTGGGGTTTACGGTTTAGGGTTTAGGGTTTAGGATGGAGCACACCGAATTGGGGGGATAGGGAGCTACAAAGAAAATGAGGGGCAAAACGCAAGGCTCCAGATGCGGCAGATTGCCGCATTCTGCCAAGTCATTGGCTTCAAATACGGGGCAACTCCCGTTTGCCGCAGTGTCAGTACAGCCCCTGACCCCAACAAGGCTCAATCACACAGAATACATGGATGCAGGGAAGGAAATCTGTGGATATCATGGTTTCGGGCGAGTGTACAAGGGCTGAGGGTCTAGGGTTTGCTCATACGGGCTTAGGGACAGATTCATAGTCAGGACTCCTGTGCCACAGGAGATCTTCCAGCTCAAGGCATGTTAGTTCAAGGCATGTTCCGAAAGGACGATGCCGTAGCTCAGATGCTAAAGACACCCCCTTGCTCACCCTAAACCCTAAACCTGTTTGTATAGTTGTGAGTGTATTTCCTATATGGGTTACTTGGTTCGGGTTTAGGGCTTTAAGGTGTTAGGGTGTTAGGGTTCGAGGGTGTTAGGATCTTAAGGTTTTAGGGTTTTGGGTTTTGGGTTCTGAAAGGCTTGATAGGTTCAGACCAAAGGGGGGGTCTTCAAAGGCAGGCTCCTCCTCATGACCGCGAGGGTGGGAGGGAGGTGGACGCCTATTTGGAACTACATAGAACAACCGTTTATGAGACAATGGCCAGGACAATGGGGTTTCGGGGGTGGGGTAGTCTAGGGGTGCAGCGACCAGCTTGACGAGGATGCTTGCCCATGCAAGTACAAGTGGGGCAGACGCGCGAGCGTTTCCGAGCACAAGACAGTCATGCCAAGCGTAGCTCAGATGGCAGTCCGTCCGCGCACCATTCGGCGTTCTTGCACGTGGACGCTGCTCTTGGCCTTCGCCACCTTGCTCTGCAGCTTCTGCTCTGGGCGCTGCCTTATTTTCGGAGCCTTTGCACCAGGACCTGGCAGACCACGACAGGGGCTGAGCCCTTGCAGGGTGGTTGGTGGAATGCACGGGGAGCAGTACGAGAACGAAGCATGCCTCCGGGCAGGAAGCTGGCAAGCAGCTTTTGTCCTTCACTGTACCCTTGGGTGTAGGTACCCGGTGTCTAAAGAGCTGAATGAGTGTACGTCTCTAGCTTCTTTTTTGTGTGGTACAGTGTGTACAGCTGGTAGAGCGCCCAGGTATGCTGAGAGAGTTGAAGAAATTGGCTTCCGAACAAGAGCTCCAAGCTAAGCAGTCTGGCCTCAGCCTCGACAGAAAGCTTTTCCACTTGGAAACATCCCTGGATTTCATCAAGTACGCGGAAAGGCATGGAGCCGAAGTGGATAGCAAAGGCACAGCTTATGCACGCGTTAGCAAGGGGGGCGTGTGGTGGGCTCTTCGAACAAACCGGCAGACTTTCCGCAAGAAGCAGGTCAAGCAAATCATCATCACGGCTTTCAAGGCTATGGGCATAGCCTTTGTCAAGAAGCCATGACCTGAGACATTCTGAGGGTGGCCTCTACTTTGATCATCCATCGGCATCAGTGAGACGGTGGGTGGTGGGGGGGGGGAGAATGTTGACACGAGAACCCCTTCTCTTTTTGACGGCGGCATGAGAAATTCAGTTAGCTATCTGTCGTGCGAATCTTCGCCAGACGTGTAGGTTTCACAACTGATTCCGTCCAATTTGAAGCGAGAATTGCACCTGCCCTTGCAGAGTGCTGGGCTTTGAGCCACAGCAACTCAGGGACATGAGTGCATGCTCATTCTTCAAGCTGGCGTGTCGGAAGAAGATTGCCTGCATGTTTTGTCATATAGCGAATATTGATTATACACTACTTATTATACAACGCAGCGACATCTTCCAATGGCACTTGTTGCAGTAACGTCTTGGGCATGCGCTTCGACAGCACAACGACGCGGACAACAGTCAAAGGGGGTCATTTGTCATCTTTTCTAGACATGGGCTATTTCGCCAAAATAGGGGGGGGTAACCCTACTATACCCCCAAATACTAAACACTTGTCATACCGGGTGCAAGGGGCACCTTTTCTTATATTGAACTTAAGTTTGCAGCTCCTCTAGCCCCAGGACTACACGGGGGGGTTTGGGGTTTAGGGTTTAGGGTTCAGGGTTTAGGGTCTAGGGTTTAGGGTTTAGTGTTTAGGCCGGGTAGCGGCAAGTTGGGTGCTAGATGACCCCCCAGACAGGAGCTCCTCTAGTGTTGGAAGCTTGAGGGTGCTGGACTTTCATGTCACAAAACTCTTTGGCAAGAAGTGTGGATGTTCGGCTCTACACTACGATAGTATACTGGTGTATGCATTCAGGGGGGTGAGGTGACTAAGGCCCCTGTGATTTGAGCAGTTCGAGCTCGCGTAGGCTATCATGCCGGCTTAACAGCAAAGAAGCTCACCATGCCCCATCTCCGGCTCAGGACTTGGCGAACCACGGTGCAGAGCTCGTGGCAGCAGATCCCTCGCAGCAGTCTTCCGAGGAGGAGCAGCGAGTTATGGTTTAGGGTTAAGGGTTTAGGGTTTAGGGTTAAGTGGAGTAGAAGCGTGAACGCAGGGGGTGCGTAGGCCGATCGAGGGGCTTGCAAGAGCTATGACCACTATGAGACCTCGTAGTAAATTGGGAACCTTCAACCGTTTTGGGGGTAGTATCATCCCCTTATGATCCCACAGGTTAACCTTTAGTTCCCCCAGGTTGCTGGACCACTATCAGATGCCTTGCTGGATCGATCGCCTCGAGCTGTGACTCGTGAGATCAATTCCTGAGTATGTGAAATCTTCTTGGACCGCATGGCTTAGAGACGCTGCCGAGGGCATCTTCTATTTTGAGCACACCCTAAACCCTAAACCCTAAACCCTAAACCCTAAACCCTAAACCCTAAACCCTAAACCCTAAACCCTCAGCCAGGAGAGGGAGCTTCGTAGGCGGAAGGCCCGGGCTACCTTTGCTCCTAGGGTAGGGGAGGGCGCCTTTGCCTTAGTGGGGTAATATAGGGGTCGGAATCATTACTAACAGTAGGGTTTAGGGTTTAGGGTGTAGGGTTTAGGGTTTAGGGTTTAGGGTTAGGGGTCGGAATAACTACTCACAGTCTTCCCTTATGGTCCCTTTCTAAATCTACTACAATTGCCGCCCCCCCCCCCCCCCCCCCCCCCCCCCCCCCCCCCCCCCCCCCCCCCCAAACCTATTCTATTCAGGCCCTAATATGGGGCTGTTCCCCCTTATACTAACAGCTCCTTGGTACCGCCGACTATAATCCCCTATTAAGGACTGTTAGCATAAGGGGGACATCCCAAGATACCTTGCGCACGTCCAGCAGCTAGAGTCTGACTCACTTCAGGATCCTGCATCTGTGCAGGAACACCCCCCCCCCCAATGCAGCCGAAACCTTTCGTTACCCCAAAAGTATCGTAAATCCAGTCCCCAAGCAGCTGGAGGTGGGACACCTGAATCTTGGCCAAACCCTAAACCCTAAACCCTAAACCCTAAACCCTAAACCCTGAACCCTGAACCCTAAAAGGCCTGAAGCCTCATGATGCGCTTCGAGAGGTCAACTTCGCCTGCTTCCGATCATTGCTGGGCAGCCATCGGAATCCCCCTCTTGAGGTCAGGCAGTCACGTGAACCAGGGTTTATATATGGGCGGACGTCAAAATACCATGTCTGTAAAATATGATGGAAGTGCGATATGAAGTTCCGCTCTTGCTGGTTTATGTCTTCGCCACAAGGCGGCACCATGCGTATGTCCAGGTTTCAGGCTCTTCCCCATGTAGCTAGCGCTGGCGCTAGGTGTTCCTTTCCAAAGGCAAACATTTTAGGGTTTATCGTGTAGGGTTTAGGGTGTAGAGCGATCCAGCTTCGGGAAGCTTAAGTAGTATAGGCGGCCTGCGCTTAGGTAAGACGGTGGAACATTGGGTTACACACCCTGAACCCTACACCCTAAACCCTGTGGTTGCTCCTGATGCATACTGCCGGCGTGCGAAAACTCTAAAGTCATGCGGCGAAATATGCGCTAGGTGGGCGCTAGCATCGCGCTAGCAAATATGAAGGGAAACTGCTTGCGGTGGCCACTTGCCCATCCAAGACATAAAGCAGTACTAAGAGCTGATTTGAAACATGGCCAACCTGGAAGAGCAAAGCACTACTAGCTCGAGCTCAAGTAGCTCCAATAGTTCCGATGACGATGCCTGAGTCTTAAAATGGCGGCGCTAGTGTGTGTTTTGCGAGGTTTTTGCACAGGGAGCAAGAATTAGTACTACACTTCTGTACTTGCCAAAGCCATCGTTCCAGACCTTCATTTGCCTTCTCGTCATAAGGCGGCACCATGATTTTTTTCAGCATCCGCCGTTCCTGGAAGAAGGAATATTGACAGTCACCCATATATATATATATATGTACATATATATATATATTTTTATACATGATATATTAAAATATTGCATTGTATTGTATTCCTCTCATGGGTGGGTGTATCTAGGGTGCCTGGAAAAAATTGGTGAATGTATATAGAATTTCTGCATTTTGGGGAGTCCGGTAGTATAAACCCTACTTCATTTGAGATAAGGTCCTGTAGTTTGGGTTCAGGGAATTGGGATTAACTACGCTTAGGAGAGCTGCCGGGTGGTTTCCACCTTTGCTTCCCTGTGGAAGTGCTTGAAGAACCACATGGAAGGCCTAAGCCTTATACCCTATGAACTCTGAGTCTAAGCCCTGAGCCTATCCCTTCTACCCAATGGCTTAAACGTGAATCCCCAAGCCCAAATTGAACCAGCTGCGGCAGCTTACTCTTACAGTTTCACCCTCCGATGCTCCGACGCTGGTTGGCAGCCCCCAGCCCCCCCCCTCGGCGAAATTGTTTTTGCAGGCTTTTGTTTTTTTGGGGTCATTTCTGCCGTGGATCCTTATGTCACCCAGAAATCTCAGAACCCCAAACTCCTTAATTCCTGGTATTAAGAGCCCCCCCACGTAGCGAACGTAGTCCCCAGTTCCCTACTCAGAACCAGTAGGATTCACCCCTAAACCCTAAACCCCTAAACCCTAAACCCCATACCCTAAACCCTATACCCTAAACCTTAAACCCTATACCCTAAACCCTAAACCCTACACCCTATACCCTAAACCCTAAACCCTAAGCCCACTGTGAGCCAGGCTGGACGCCTCTACATCCTCCTGAGCCTGGCCGAGGCTAGTTCGATCCGGAAGGTCCAGTTTAGGTTTTAGGTTTTAGGGTTTAGGGCTTAGGGTTTAGGGTTTAGGGTTTAGGGCTTAGGGTGATTTAGGGTTTGTGGTTTTGCTGGGCTTTTGAAGGAACTCAAGCTAAGTGGCCAATTAAGTGACCAGAATATGATATGCATACCTCCTAAGGAGTATCGGAATATCGCTTCCATATCATGACAGCTTCAGTTTGTGGTTTCGTGGGAGGGCGTTTTGGTGCAGAGGCTGTGGAGGTTCAGAAGTTCAGGGATCTTCGTCTTTTGGGCCGACTGGTGGCCTGATCCCCTGTACACTCTACACCGAGAGTAGAAGCACAGACCCCCCTTTGAAAAGATTGTAGATACCCTGCCCCCAAAAGAAGGTATACCCATTAAGGGGCACGTGTAGGAGGGAGACACCACCCTAAACCCTTACAAACCCTAAGCCCTACACCCTAAATCCATTTATAATCCCCATTAAGGGCTATAGGAGGGAGACACCACCCTAAAGCCTTAACTCTCTGATCACAGGCTGAGACCGTGCGGAAGGTGTTGCATGCCCGGGCCACCGAGAAACCCGAAGGCGGGGACGACACCTTAGGGTTTAGGGTTTAGGGTTTCGGGTTTAGGGTTTAGGGTTTAGGGTTTAGGGATATATATATATATATATACATACACATATATATGTATATATATATATATATAAAGGGGGGGTATATAGGGGAATAAGATTAAGAGTCCCTTCTTAAGGCCCCCTTTTTTTGTTCCCCTTAAGATTACTGTAGAGATGTTGAGCAGCTCGCCCTGGAGTCTTGAACTCAAGCGCTTCACCCCCCCCCCTCCCCCCAAGGTGCAAGACCCCACAAGCACCCAAAAGACACCCGGAATGCCTCCATAAGGTACTATACGGGTCGGAGTAACTACGACTAGTATTCCCTTATGGTCCCTATATAAATATACTAGAATAACCCCGAAAGCCCTATTCAATTTTTTGCTGCCTCCATAAGGTACCCTTAGCTCGGTAGGCCCTGGTTGGGACATTTTTGTTTCCCCTTCTTGGGCTTAAGAGGACTGTATCTAGGGATATTTTCAGAGGGCTGCTCAGGTACACCCCCCAGCTGCTCGTGCGCACAGGCATAGGTCCTGCACAACCAGGGAACAGATGGTCAGACCCAGTAGTGTTTAGGGCATAAGCCCGGAAACTTGAAAAGCCTGAATCTCGAAAAGCCTAAACTCCCTTAAAGCTCGAAGCCCCAGAAAGCCCTGAAGCTCTTAAGCCCGAGTGGCCAGTACGTGAGCCAGGCTACGCCTTGTCGCTTCGCCGGGATCCCCGGCATTGCCCAAGGTTTTGGGATTGCAGGCGAAGGTTTTGGATTTAGGGCTTAGGGCTTATAGGGTTTTGCAACACGAAACAACTGGCCAGAAAACTACCCGAGGTACCTTTGTACGTACAGTTTTCCAGGGGGTGCGGGTTTTTGGCTGGGACAGGACATGATAACTGACTACACGGTTTAAGTCCCCAGAACTCTAGCACCTAGAAGCGCTTGGAAAGGATTGTCGTTCTATCCACTTCAACTGGAAACTCCCTTGTCTCACCCTAAAACCCGAAACCCTAAACTAACCCTAACCCCTAAACCTTAAACTCTACTGAACAACTCAACCCCTGAACCTTAAACTCTACTGAACAACTCAACACTTGCTGACCCCAGAAAACGGCTGAACCCTGAATCTTACACCCCCCCCCCCTGTGACCTGCGCATGATGAAGCCTGTGAGGCCGAAGCCTAAACCTCGCGAACGCGCTGAGCCCTTCTTAGGTGTTTCGGGTTTAGGGTTTAGGGTTTAGGGTTTAGGGTTTAGGGTTTAGGGTTTAGGGTTTAGGGTGTACCCTTAGGATCAAAACAACCCCAATAAGCGTAAATATGAAGGCCTTTGGGCCCCAAAATCCCTGAAATCAGAGTCCTTAGGTCCTTAGGGTTAGGGTTGAGGGTTGAGGGTTTAGGGTTTAGGGTTTAGGGTTTAGGGTTTAGGGTTCAGGGTTCAGGGTTTGGGGAACAAAAAGCTGAAACATGTGAGAGGCTTCGTGGGGCACGGTGGACGGCGTTTGGACTCGACGGCTCCCCCATATCCGGAGCCCCAGGACACAGAACCGGTTTCGGGTTTAGGGTTTAGGGTTTAGGGTTTAGGGTTTAGGGTTTAGGGTTTAGGGTTTAACCCCAGCCCCTAAATCCTGTACACACTAAACACTAAACTAACCCGAAGCCCTAGACGATTGCGTCTTTGTTGGGCTGTTCGGAGAGTGTTGTTCAGTGGTTTGGGCCAAGTAGAGCCGCTCAGGGCCCAGGGTGGTTGAGGGAAGTTTCAGGGTTTAGGTTTCGGCGGTTGAAGTTTCGGGTTTAGAGTTTAGGGTTTAGGGTTGCTGCCTCTAGGGGTTGGGGGCATGTGTGGTGTTTGCCTTTCTGGTTCTCTTGGCTCTGGGAGCTTCCGGGGCCATTTTCCGTCATGAAGGCCATGGGGGTGAGCCGATGCAAGGGATCTTTGGGGCTGACGAAGGGGGTTTAGGGTTTAGGGTTTAGGGTTTAGGGTTTAGGGTTTAGGGTTTAGGGTTTAGGGTTTAGGGTTTAGGGTTTAGGGTTTAGGGTTTAGGGTTTAGGGTTTAGGGTTGGTAAGTTCAGGGTTTCGGGTGGGGAGCTGTTGTTACCAGATGTCGGGGGCAAGCCACTAGCGAAGCTTCTAGAGAATGGGGGTTGCTCTGAATTAGGGATCTGCTGAAACCCTAAACCCTAAACCCTAAACCCTAAACCCTAAACCCTAAACGAACCATGCCTTCCCTAGCCGATTTTCGGGTCTGCCACAGCATGGAGGGTGAAAGTTCATGCTTGTGGAAGCAGTCCACGGTGTCTCCTCCTTTCCAGAGGCTCCCCTGTAACCGTAAAGCCCTGGGACCTACATCCCAAGCCCTCAGTCCCTAAAAAGCAAGTATAAAGCCCACAAGCTCCTCCTGCAGGCCCTGCGGGGCCCTACGGCTGAACCTTCAAAACCTTGCACGTCCTGAGTCTTCTGAGTACACCATGCCCCTGAACCCTTGTGCTGCGGCTGAACCTTCAAAACCTCGCACGTCCTAAGTCTTCTGAGCACAGCATCCCCCTGAAGCCCTGTGGGTGGGGAAGGTCACGCCCTGAACTTCGCCCACAGCCTGTGAGGGTTTAGGGTTTAGGGTTTAGGGTTTAGGGTTTAGGGTTTAGGGTTTAGGGTTTAGGGTCCCTGACATGGTGGGATCGTGAGGACCACCAACTCTTCCTGGCGATCCAGGTGGTAGGGCTTTCGGGAAGGGGGGAGGGGGAGTTGGTACACTCTCTCTCTCTCTCTCTGTCTCTCTCTCTCTCTCTCTCTCTCTCTCGTCTCTCTCTCTTCACGAGGGTTACTCACTCCAGCCCTCAATCCTCGCCCCAAAGATACCCTTTACAAGCAATTTACAAGGGGGGAAGGTTGAGGGTTAAGGCCCCAACACACCCGTTCCCCTTTGCCTGGCACAGACCGCTCGCTTCCTCGACTGCCAGACTTACTTTGAGGCCTGAGGGGCTCCATGAGGGGCTCCGGGCCTGTGCTCTAAGGTTCAGGGCTTGCGGGGCTTATTAGGGTTTTCGGTTTAGGACTCAGGATTTCCTCAAGGTGTGTGGTCACAAAGGGTTCAGCTTGGAAACAGCACAGGCTACGGACAAGTACCAACCTGCGCAATCTGCCACGCTTCCCTCTGTCCCTCACACTCCTTCTCGCCTCCCTGGTTCTTTGTCGTTCTGTCTCTAGCTCTCACCTTCTTCTGCGTGCTCTCCTCACCTTCCTGACGGGGGGGTTCTTCTAAACCCCCGCCGCATGGCGCAAGGGGGGGCGCAAGGTCGAGCGCAAGGGCTAGTACCAGGGATATAGTGCAAGGGCAATAGTCGATGCATTGTGTGTGTGTGTGTATTGCAAGCGTTGTGCCTTAAACCCTACAGGTCAGGAGGAGATTCGGGCTTCCAGTTGTGATTTGGGGCCCACCGGAGCTCGTTAGTACCAAGTTTTGTAGTTGGCGTGTTTGCCGGCATGGCCAAGCACTAGCACGGCGCAAGGCCGTGGCGCAATGGCGAGGCGCAAGGGAAACCTACGGCCTTAGGATGCCTTAGGTTTGGTACAAGAGTTTAGAACAACTTCCTTAAACCCTAAACCCTATACCCTGAACCCAAAACCCTGAAGCCTGATTGGCACTCTGCAGGATCACTGCATCCCGCTGATCCTACGGGGCTTGGCAAGGGATGCGGCCTATAGGCGCCGGAAGTGGTTCGAGGCCTCTTACGTGCACGCTGTATCAGGGTTGAGGAGTATAAGGGCTTGGGCTTCAGGGTTAACCCTAAACCCTAAACCCTATTTGGGAAACTAGCCTTGGCTCTGGTTGGGCTCTAGCTTTCAATTGGAACATCTACAAGACGCCGAATTCGAAGTCCCCCTATAGTCAAGCCCTGTATAAGTCCAAACTCAGAGGCCTACAACTGCATGGGTTCTTGGGACTCTTGAAGGGTCTGATGCCACATTCCACCTTCGCCATTGAAGCTCACACGAGCCTAAGAGAAGCCTCGAGAAGCCGAGCCGCCTTGCAACTGCCCGAGAAGTGTCTGAGAAGGGTTTAGGGCTTAGGGCTTAGGATTTAGGGTTTAGGGTTTTGTGTTTTGGGTTTAGGGTTTAGGGTTTAGGGTAGGCCTGGCCTGGAGACTCTCTGCACATTGGTACATGCAGCGTTTTCATTCTTAATTTCGCAGCCCTTGGCGGTTCGCCTGGTCAGCTGTCTGCCACTCTAGAAGCAAGTCTCAGTAGACAAGCACTGCATAGGTATTTCGAGCCACATGAACTTGCACTGCACAACTGTGCTCTGCCCAAGAAGCATTCAATGCGTGGAGGGCACATGGATTTTGGCAGTGTTCTGGAAATTCGGTATTCTGTTTGTTCATCACAGTTTCAGAATGCACAATGACGAGCTGTTCCGTGCGCTATGTCGTACTGACCAATACCGGCTGCCATCGGGCACGCGGGTGTTGGTGACCTCAGATCCTGATGAGCCGCAGGCTCAGCTCAAGCACGGGTGCTCATAGGGATTCATAGGGATTCGCAAAGAGCGTTTCGTCGCAGGCTTCCATCGTTGAAGATTGCTTCAACTACATGGGGATTCCTATGCCAAGCGAGGGAGCTTTGAGCCGAACCTCCCAAGCCCCGAACCCCTCTGAGGTGTGAAGCAGAGCTCCGCTCATTTCTCGAGTTTCCTGGGATCCTTGGCCTGGACGCTGAGTGGGCCGATGCACGGGGCAAGGTGGCGCGGCCCGGCCGCGCGTTTCAAGGGATTTCTTCTCCGAGGGGTCGAAGAGGTCGAAGATACCCTATCAAACCCCCCCAAAATACGGTAATCGGCAAAAAAAATGGGGGCAGACAGGGCTGCAGGTGTCCTGAAGCCTTGACCCTCAAGTCCGAGAGAAGCCTCTTGTCGCGAATCCAGTTCATGCACGCTCTTGCTTCTTGCTACCTCATGAGACACACAGATGCCCAGCAAGCTTATTGAGTCTGGTCCCGTTGTTGCTTCGTGCTGGCTCGTTCCCCGACGATCGGCGATCTAAGCCCGTCACCAAGGCTGGTGCAGCTGGCAAGCCGGGCGAGGGGCTGGGGGACCAAGCGAGCCATCGGTTTGTTGGGGATGTTTGTTTGTCTAAGTGGCGGAGCACCGCCACGCAAAACGGACGCTGCCCAAAGACAGTTCCCCGCTTGCAGCCCACGCTAGTTGGAGAAACATGTTCCTGGGTCCGGTGTCTCCACTTACTACGTACTATCGGGGGCTCGAGCCACTTCTCTCCAGAGCTTCTGAGGGTGCCTCCTCATCCGCATGCCAATGCTGGAGACCTTGCCCGCAGGCAAGCCTCCCCTTAGCAAGTCGAGGGGGGCGGGGGGGGGGGGGGGGGGCTCTCAAGACCTTACGAGAAAATCGGGCTTAGGGTTTAGGGTTGAGGGGTTTGGGTTTGGTGCACTGAACCCTAGAATCCGACAGCCCCATGAGGTACCTTATCTGTAAGCTGTTTAGGGGTTCTATAGGTTCCCGAATTCTCTCCCCCTAATGCTAAACCCCCTACCCTCTAACATTGAGTACTCCCACATTCTGGTTACATTAGAGTATATAGGGGGTGTTTAGTGTTAAGGGGTAGGCGGGGGTGTAATATTTGGGGGAAGGGATTACTTCCCTACTCGCTAGTCAAAACCATGTGCCAAAACGGAGGTCTCAGTGAGTTGCTGCTGCGGGAGGCCCGGCGCATCCCAGAAACCCCCCCAATCGCACCCGACGCGCTTTTTGCCTAGACGCCGCGTCTGGGACTTCAACGTCATGAGGGTTTAGGGTCTAGGGTTTAGGCTTAGAATTTTGGATCCCCCCCAAGGACTATCGCATTTTTGGGGTTACGCTCTAGGGCTGACAGTCTTTGGAAGTGTCGAGGGTGTCGCTGACACCCTGAACCTCGCGAAGTCCCATCTCCAGGACTTCTTGAAAGTCGGCGTGGGGATTGCCCAGGACAGATGCCATGGGTCCGGGCACTTAGATTTGGGTGTAAGCTCTATAGGGTTTAGGGTTTAGGGTTTAGGGTTCAGGCAGGTAATTTCACCCACGACGCCCTGTGTACACCCAAGCGGCTAAGACCTGCAAACGGGCAACCCTAAGGCAACTTTAGGGCACATCTAGTATGATAGCATCTGCTTTGCGGCCTCAGTAGGGTTGAACACAGAAGTCGTATTGTTGGCTTGTGAAATGTTGCACTCTTAGCCGGATTATTTAAGGTACGGAGCCTATAGACCCGAAACCTCAGCCTCGTTCCTGTGAGGACCTGCGTCTGCTAGCCGAGCAGTTTGGGTTGAGGAGCCGAGGTCCATAACGGCTTAGGGTTTAGGCATTAGGGACACGGATCTTCAAGCCGAAAGAATTTAAACTCCGGCCCAACCCGTCGAGTTTAAGGGCCTGCAGCTTCTTGCAAGGGGCCCTATTTGCTGAGAACTGTCGTGTTAGGGTTGTTTAAGGGTTTCGGGGCTTTGGTCAAGGGACGAAGACTCGTACCCCTAAGGTTCCACCCCTCAAAGGTCCCCCTGAATATACTCCGAAATATGGCCCTCATATTCCCTCAGGAATTCTGAAAAAGGGGGCCCCCGAACCCAAGGGGTACAGCCTTAATCAAGGGTCCAAGGTAGAACCCCTGGATTTGGTGTAGTCTTTAGGTTGCTCGTGTGGGTCATGTGAACTCTAGCGTGCGAGGGAGGATTCAAGGAGTTGATCATCCAGCGTGCAAGGGTGTGAACGGTCAGTTCGCTACCTAGGAGACCGGGTCTCAGGTGCGAAGCACGGAGACACAAGGAGACACACAGACACAGAGACAGAGAGAGAGAGAGAGAGCGAGAGACAGAGGTTTAGGGTTTAGGGTTTAGGGTTTAGGGTTTAGGGTTTAGGGTTGAGCAGAAGAAGAAGAGACTCCAAAGATGGAAGCTTGCGTGTAACCAGATGAGCTCGCACAAGGAGCCTGTTAGAGAGTCAGGGGATGGTGAGGCTATGGTTCATGGCCCTATTCAGTTTCCATGGTGTTAGACCATATATATATATATTTATTTGTTTATATATATATATATTTATTTATATATATATATATGTAATAATATGTATAATATATATATATACTGTTTTGTTTATTTTGTCGTGTTAGGGTTTAGCGCGTAGCCTGCGTCAGCCGCTGTCGTTACCAGCAACCTGGGCCCGCCTTAAGAACCCCTGGAGGCGCCCTCGATCTTCAGCCACTTGCCTTGCGCCACGACGAAGGCTTGAGAGAGTAAGCCTGAGTGAGGGCCGGAAAGCACCTCCTTCCACTGAACCCCACGCAGGGATGCCAAACGGCGTGGGCGAGGGGGACTGTGAGAGATAGGAAGCAAGGCAGCAGTTAAAGCAGGTCTGTGCGTGTATGTGCCTCCAGCTCTCAAAGTTTGGAGTTCAACTGCGCTGTTAGTGGATCCAGCTTGGCGAGTTGCGTGCTCAGAAGTCCTTGCATGGTCCTCGTTGTTGCTTGAGACCTGTACACGCTTGTCATTCTCGATCTGCCGGATTTTCGCAGATTCTCCCATCAATTGCATGCACAAAGGGCTCGACCTTAGCGCAGGCACCGAAATTTTTGCCAACATGATGCCCTTACAGTCCATATGCAAATCTTTCACAACGTATACAGAGTGCCCGCAGTATCAGTTCTGTTTAAGTAGGCCCCCTGTATGCTCCCCTTACTGTGGACACTGTTGTTGCGTGTGCCTCTAAGCCCTTAGGCCCCAAACGCCTTCTGGGCCAGGCCACGACCTGTGCCTCCCTAAATCCTCAACCCCAAGCCCTAAACCCCAAACCCTAAACCCCAAACCCTAAACCCCAAACCCCAAACCCCAAACCCCAAACCCCAAACCCTAAACCCTAAACCCTAAACCCTAAACCCTAAACCCTAAACCCTAAACCCTAAACCCTAAACCCTAACCTTCCTCCGCTTTCCCTCCCCCCGCCCCCCCGCCCGGCCCGCCCGCAGAAGCCGAAACACCCGCAGGTGGTGCGGGGTTAGGCCTTGGCGCCCTTTGCTGGGCGATGCTGCGGAAGAAGCTGGAGGGGCTCATGGGGGCCACACCTGGGGTAGAGAGAGGGAGAGCGGGAGAGAGAGGGAGAGAGAGCGAGAGAGAGAGAGACAGAGGGAGAGAGAGAGGGAGAGAGAGGGAGAGAGAGAGAGAGAGGGAGAGAGAGAGAGAGAACGCCGCAACAAGAGACAGATGATTTTTACACACTTGCAGCGCAGCGCAAAGACCCTAGAATTTTTCAAACGCTGCCAGTGACGAGCTTTACAGGCACCTTGTTTAGGGTTTGGGGGGGGGGAGGGGGGGGGGGCGCGTATTTTCATCATGGACCCCAAATTGGGACCGAAGTGTAGGGAACTGCCCGCGGATGAATGGGCCCCTACAGGCTATAGGTCCTTCTAAACCTCCCACTAGGATCTTTAGAGGGGCTCGTCTTTCCCGTAAAGTGTGCCCCTTTCTAAACTTCAGTTGGCAAAAATGATGTTTTTTTAGGTTAGAAAGCCCGCTGCAGAACAGGACAAGCGGATTGAGCTGCGACGCTCTGACTGGACAGGCCAGGTATGATCTTGCACACGTTGATACAAAAGTAAAAATGTATGGGTGCGTACATATATATATATATTATGTGTGTATTTGTTCATAGACATAAGTATGAACATGAAAATACAGATAAATAAAAAC